AAAAAAATATTAGTACTTTATCTTCATATAATAATGTTTAAAATACTCAGTAGTACATAAAGATACATTGCAGTCGTAACACATATCATATGTTTGCCAAAACGATTCTGATATTTTTAAGATGAAAGTGAGTTGGATGGATCAAAATATTATTCTACATTTTGTAAATTAACAGTGAATTATGAACTTGTATTATCAAAAAATGAAAGAAAAGCTTCTTATAAGGTTTAATGCAGAGAAAAGATTTTCTAATAATTAAAAAATATCTTGGAAGCGTTTTTGTTTAATAACTATACGCAGGCGTATTTAGACCGATATTGAGAATATAGTTAATTAAACATCATTAATGTCATCTGTCTAGTATTTTATATTAAATATGATGCTTTAATCATAATTAACACATTTAGATGTACAACTATTGGAAAATATTTCACGAATAGATTTAATATTAGGTGAACATGAATATGAGCATTATTTTTTGTGGGTATCGATGTGGAATGAAAAGAATACCCACGCCGAATAGTGTTGACATATCATATCGAACTAACATTTTAAGATATACGAAAAGTGAAATCGATGTGATCGAAAATATTTGTAAAGAAGCAAATTAAAATGAGAATCAAGATTATCAAATCCATGAAGAAGATTGAGGCCAGAAACATCTCATTCGGTAACAATTCTATTTTCATTCTCCTCACTCACGAGTGTGTAATGTACTACAAGACGATACTCTATATGAGAGGAACCAAGAACAGAAGTAGAAAATATATGATCTATTGACAATGTATGAAGAAAACTACATATAAACTCAAATAAGCCAGAATATAAATGAATATAGTCGATATTTCTAGTCTAAAATATTCGTATAATCCGTCAGATTAATGTGAAATGTTTTCTACATTCATTATATCTGTCAATCCTATTCAGAGAGAAGTGACGTACTATAAATTTCAGTATTCAATAGAATAGTATTTCATATTCGACGAGCATTGTAATAGTAGACAATACAAGGGGGGAAAGCAATTTATGATTTAGGGATTTAAAATGAATTAAGCTGGTTTTTATAACTTAAACTGAGCTTTGGTGATTGGAAAATCGCGTAAATTAAGTTCCACAACATGACTTCACAGTGGTATAAGATTATTATTTCCCAAGCAATATGTATTAGTCATATCAAGAGGGAAAAAGTGATTTGCGATTTAGTGATTTAAGAATAATTTAGTTATGATTTAACTCTGATTTTTATCTTATTTAAATCAGCTTTTTTCCCCTTGAGACAATACGTTCCGATAATAACCGAATATACTCATCTTTTCCGGAAAAGAGAATCTTCAAGTGATTCGTCAGAATTTTGAACGTCTTTTGAAGACAACCAGTAAATGATAGGATGTGTCGAGAATATATTTAAAATCGTACAATGATATTGAAAATACATGACTCAATATGTGCTTTATAATAAACCGAAAGCTTTTTTTTTCAAAATAATTTAATGAAATTGTAATGTGTCGATTGCTTCTACTAACCATTTGTTAATCAATCGTTTGAGTATAGTATTTGCCTTACAAAATAAAAGATCTATAAGAATGTAGGTATGGGTACATATTGTACCGAAGAAGTAAACTATGACTGGTTTTGTCCTTTCTCAAGAAATACTATGAATAGTTTTTACACTGCATTATCTTTTACACTAAAGTACGAAAGAAAAAATTATCCTCTCGTACTTCCAATTTTGTGCATGGATACGAGTATGGATGAAGAGATTACTAATTCACCGCCTCAAGATTGTCGTTTACGATCGGGAATGATTGATCTGAGGATGATATTTAGTGGAGCTTTGATAAGTTTCACAATATTATCAATAAACTCACTCAAGAGTAACTTTCTCAAAAAATAAATATCAAACATAGTAGTAACATCAAATATGCTCGTTTTTCATTATATTTCCACCAAGATAAATTCATCTTGAAGAATCTATTTGATTACTGACGACAACAAGTATCATTAACACATGATTTCTTCGATTTTTTTTGAATTGAATACTATCATGGATGACGTCCGAAGGTGTTGTTGTTCACGACAGATACAATCTGTCATCTTTACTTATCAAATGAATAATTTTTTCTAATAATATCGATTGTAATGCATATTAAATATTCAGTTATATTCTTATTCGTTTATTCTTTCTACTCAAAAATACTGAAGTATAATCTAAGACAATTTATGGGACCAAATAATGTGAATCGAAACAACATTCGACAGACACCGCCTTGAGGGTGTGGGTGAAGATAGCGAGTAAATAAATTGTTACGTTCACACGCACCCTGAAGAACCAACAACAATAAGAGGTTTTGGGATTAAATAGTATACGTTTATTAAAATGAGAGACAATACTCAGTGTATATTTACAATAGAACAGACGATAGGGTTATAAAAATGTCTAACTAAAAGGCGACAACATCTACTATAATTATGAAAGCGGAATATTTATAATTGTCAAGTCTGATTCTTTTAATTTTTGTTACATGTTTTAATTTTCAGAAATCGATAAGCTTTGAGATTATGTATATTTATATTTATTGCCAATACTTCGTAATATAATTTAATGAGTCGTCGTTGTATGAGTAGAAGGATCTACTTGTCGTCGTATTTTCAATATATATAAAACTTGTTTGCGAAAACCAGAACTTGATATACAAGATATATAAAAACTTGTACTATAGAATAGATAGGAGAAAAGCCGTATAAGTTCAACAAAAATATTCTCATAAGCTACATATAAAGGTGCTTTGTTCCAGTATAGAGTAATACTTGAGTAAAGATTTTGAGCTCCAAAAGGTAAAAATGAAGGTACAGCAACAAATGACTGCAACAATATCATATTTGAGAGTTGGGCATCAATTTGCTGAATAAGTGAAAGGTTTACAGTGGCTACATGCAGTCCATTACCAACACTAGGCATTACGCGTCTGCGAGAAACACTTCGAACATTTCTCAAAAGTAAACTGCCAAGTGTTATAAAAAGTATAGGCGGTACAACTCCAGACATGCATGCCTCAAAGTAGGCATCGAATATTTCATAATTACCTGCCATTGGTATGCAAACTCCAGTACTTGTAGTGTAAAATATCAAGCGATGACCCGTCCATAAAAACCAGAAAATGATGACTGTTGGAATCAGCTTGTAAGTAAGAGAAATACGATTGCTCCATGCACGATAAGCTATAATAGAAAAAAACATTATTTATGATGTTCTTAATATAATGGGTTAGGACGTATTTCTATAAAATATTCGATTATATTAGTATATGATATTCTTATACTTACCAGCAGAACGATGAGTAGATAGAAATCGATCAATTGTAGCCAATGCAAATAAACTAAATGCAACTTGATGTGTATATTCTGAAAGCCATTCTCGTACTTTACAAATAACAGAATACTTATTTATTATAGGAAGTTGAAAACCTTTTTGAATTACACGTGTAAGTAATACAAAATCAAAATAGATAAATGTAAACATAGATTCCACTATTAAATAATTAGAACAAGCTCGAGCACGAAATGTTCGTGAACTAAATACCAGAAAATTTCCAATACTACTAATATTACCCGTAATAAAAATAAATATGCCAAGATAAATATTTAATAGAAAAGGCACTTCTATTAGTGTCGGATTGACATAAACAATATTTCTTGAATTTGTAGTGTTCATGATAGAAGTGTAATTAAATCAAAGTTTATTTCACTAAGAAACTTTGTATCTAGAATAAAATTATATATTCATTTGTTAAAAATGGTGATATTGAAAGAGTTTTTGACATAATAGAATTATGTCTATCCTTTGTTAACAATGATATAAAATCGTAGATAGTAATCACACATTTTTGCTATTATATTAGGTTCTCGTCAAAGGCATATAAACGATTAAATTTCGAGTATCACCGTATAGCTATTTCTATAATTAGTAAAATATCCTTCGAAAACTGTTCGGATGTAATTATAAAAATGTGATCAAAAAAAACTTTTATGAATTATTTTCAATGAAAACTTAACTTTTCATGTGAAATAAAATTAGTTAAAAATTTGATTACACAAACCTACCTTTGTAACAGAGAAAATATAATTATTTATCTTACAACAAATATAACATGATCTTTCCGTATTTCATCTACTATAAACGTTTAAAAAATTATAATAATCATTTTCTTTTTTATACTATATATTCGATTATAAATTCAAAATTATCATCGCTATAATGCATCTGTTCTTTAAACCTATCAAAAATAATAGCGAATAGATTCTACTCAAAAGACAGCCTACGTCGCTTCTACAACTATATACTATAGCAGAAAAATTTGAAAAATAGAGAGTAATGTTTATGTCTTGCCAATTTTACGCCAATAACATCCATATATCATACTTATGTGCTAATTACAGATGAGCGAATAACATTAGATCATAAAATATGAAAATCATTCTGTATATTCTATGGGATAGATTTAACAGACTGTAAATTAAATATCTATAAATAGATAAATATATTCTACGCATTTTAATTTGAATAGCAAAAAAGCTTGTCCTACTTACATACTAAATAACAGAAAGATATTCTTGATGAGAATGATAAATATCCCACCGAAAAACAACACGCTTTATCAAGTTTAAGTCAGGGAACAGAGAGCAGCCGGATTCTTTATCTAAAAAACGATTTCTTATTGTATATATTGTGTTCTTCAGTTTTTGTAAATTTATAACATTATAATGATTCAAACGATCATATTATTCATATGTAGTGTACAGCAATTTTTCTGTCGTTGTTCTTTGAAAAACTTTTTAATTCAAATTTTTATACTTCGATACGATCACGAGGGTGTCGGTGTGAGTGTGATCCCATCTTATATTTATCCACACCCTTTAATGTTCAAGCTCTCGATCATGTTGATCATCTCTTGTTCATTAGTTCTTATTTTCTGCATATTTTATTATGTGTTCCTATTGATTCTGTGTCAGGTTAATCCTAAGTAGAATAACAAAAATGAGGATTATTTCAAATAATTATAAAAATCAGAAATCAGGAACAAAGATATTTTAATATTACATTGACATATAGTGAAGATTCAACGATATTATCAATATACATTCAATAACATGACAATTTAATTAATCAAGTTAGAAACTTTTTTCATCACTCAAAATTATTAATAAATGCTATTTAGCGAATGTCTCGTATGAATTATCTTACAATTTATTAGTAGAGATGAATTATAGTGAGTATTCTTATTTTATTTTGGATTAAATCAATTGAAAAGCTGACATAAAGCAGATAAAAAACGACGTATTCTATACAATCAGCATTTTTCTAAGAAAAAAATAGTCAAAAATACTGGAATGTGATCTTTATAAAGTACATGAAGTTATTGAAGAGTACCAACTGTTCTTGTTGCAACTGAATTTCCTACAGTAGCAGCCACAGGTATCACTCTATCTCGTTTCCATTTTGATATAACAATAGTTTTCAACTGAGGTGTCATAACAATCATTAATATACTTAGTATTATTAGAGATAATTCAATCGAAAGCCATGCAACACGATAATGTACAGGATATGTATTTCCTGTGACATAACTGATGATCATCAGAATCGTGCCCGGTAATGCCAAGGTGAACAACATATTAATTTGAGCCATAATACGTTTAATAACAACAAAATCTCGTGCTTGTCGACGTTTGACAGCTATTGTCTGATTAGTTGACTGTTGATGAATATATCTTGTGATACGAATGTAGGTAACTGATAAAAAGAAGACAGGCAGTCCATAGAAGAAAAAAAACATCCAAACAATACCAAGAATATTCTGAATTGGTATAAAACAATGGTATAACCCAGGCATATATACGACTGCATGCCAAAAATAAAGTGGACACATAACTAAACAAGCCATGATAAATTGAAGTGGTACTGCAATAATATAAAGCCAATATACTTGATACCATCTGTATGCTGGATATATAATACGACAAAAACGATAGAAAGCCTAAATTAGTGAAAATATATTATCTCTTAAAGTTAGTATATGATTAAAGGTAGTTTTAACTTTTTTACATACAACTATTTCATACAAAGTCCTCATAAACTATCTCAAATTGATACTATACGTCAGTCAAGTTTACAAATCAATATTGAAAATTAACTGCCTTTCAATGATACTTATTAATATTATTTAAATTATTCTTTAGAATTAATATTCTTTTAGGACTCATAGAATAACTATATATATTATTTATACATACTTGAGTAACGAATCCATAATAAAAAGTACCGGAAATATTAAGATCAATATATCCATAAAATATACATTGTATTGAATCAAAACTTAGACCATAAAGATCACCTAACACGGTACGAATATTTAGCAGCATTAATATTGTTGACCAAAGAAAAATACAAAGATAAATATTAACACATAAAATAAGAGTAATTCTTTTTTCTTTTGTTACTCGATTCTTGTGTTGATGATAAATAACAATAAATAAGATCATAGCTGACATTATACTAGCTATTGAACCAAAGATGACTGTGAATAAAGGTAATACAAAATCTGCTGTGCGAGTCGTGTTGTTATTCATTGTTGAAGCAAGTGAAATATGTCTGTATGTTATAGATAATTCTTTATTAGCTTTATCAAAATGAAAAAACAATCTCCTTTTAACAAATGTCAAAGATGAATAAATAGTAAATATATTAGTTGTTTACTGATGGTAATCTTTGATATCAAAGAGTGACTATGACAGATTCTGCTGAAATGAAACAATTACTTTTTCTTCAAAAAAGATTTCCGTTAATCTCTTTTTAATTTACTAGAAGAAAATACGTAAACAGATGTCAACATCATTAATGTTTTTCTTTGATTAAAAACTCTACAGAATTGATTAACTCTCAACAATGAAAGTTGCTTGACACAGATAAAAATAGAATGAGCATTTCAGACACATCACTCTGAAAGTACTTCTCAAGAGAGTACTCAAATGTATCTGGACTAAAATATGTAGAGAATATTAAGATTCTATCTTCGACATACGAATGAAAGATTAAATATTATATCTAAATATTTCAAAAAAAGCAATAAATTTAAGTGTATTTAGAAAATAGAAATACAAAAGTGTGCCATATATAACATAAGAATATGTCGAACAGATAAAGTAGTAGAAAATAAATAGGAAAATAAAGAGATAACTGCTGTAAATAGTATATTTAAGATTTTATTTTTTCGAATAGAAATTAAAAAAGGAGATTCAAGCTTTCGTGTCGTTATCTGAAACTCATCGTCACAGGAATGATATTGAGAGAAGAGCCGTGAAACAGGATGGAAGATGTCAATGTCAAGTGATGTTGAAGTTTTGTGGTGGAATGATAAGGATACAGATGTATATTTTATTATTATATTGTTGTCATCTTAGTTGTATTAAAACAGAAATAAGAAAAGGATGAATAGTAGATAAATAAATAAATCAAATAGAAATGTTTGTGTACATATACCAGAACGAAAGACTTAGAATGATTTTCCTAATTAATGCGGAGGGCAGGTGTCGGTAAATAATGAACTGGTCACCCGCACCCTACATGATCAATGCTTTCTATCAGCAAATCGATAGATCAACTTTATTTACCTTTGATGAACTATATTAAATTGCGTTATATAAAGATCATGTTTTTGAATACATCTCATACGACAATCGGAATATAAATATCATTAATATACAATGTTATATGCAAAGGTATATACATTGAGAAATGGTATATGTATGTTAATCAACGACATCTATATAGTTCTCAATGAAACAATACGAATATCTTAAATAGCGAAAATATTTTCCTAATAAGATTTAGAAAAAAATTTGAAAGGTTAACAAATTAATCGATTGTTACATTCGAACGACAATATTACTATTAGTAACCGTTATAAAAATGGTAGATGTTATATTGATTGATTCTCTTTGATGTAATTTAAAATTTAATTTAATTTTAGAAATTCATATAAATCATGTTCAAATTACCTGATCATACTCAATCGAATATTAATCAAACTTCTCTTAATAATAAATATACATCCGAATTTGAATCTGAAGATGTTCATGTTTGGACGAAGTAAAATAAGTTTTTTTTTCGTTTTTTTTTATATAAAATTTATTTTCTATTTAGATTTTTTGATCGATCACAAATACTTGATGAAAACGATCGTCATCGAATAAATCATATATTTAATAAACTTGTAACAAGTATCGTTAAATATGAACGGTAAATTTCTTATTGATTTATTTTTGTTTTTATGAATAATATATTTTAATAATCTAGAGAACAAGATTTTCAATTACTTGAGGCACTTGCTAAACGAGTATTATCTACTGATAATGATAGAGAAGAAAATGAGGAACCATTCATCTTAACAATATTTGATCAAGAACGATTAATAAAACTTCGTACACTTTGCAAACGTTTAAAACATTATAATTCTATTGAAAAACTACTCTCAACTATGTTCATTCCAGTATGTTAACACCTACTATATTGTTTTATATAAAAGAAAACTCATAAATATTTCAATATAGGACACAACAAACGAATTAATTCTTCCACCAATTAATAAAACAAATCATCGAACTCGTTTATCATCGCTTTCTTTCGATGATGCCCGTATATCATTACCAGTTAAGAAAAAATCACGAATATCAACTACACAATCTCCAACATCTGTAAGTAAATTATCTAAGCTTACTCTCTTTGCTTTATATTATTTTTTTAATTTAGACTGAAACGAAACCTAAACAAATAATGATGCATGGTCCAGTAACATTACAAAATATTTATCAAGCATTACCAGCAGCAACACTTCAGTTTGCTGAAGGTTAATTTATATGAAAGTTTTAGAAAAATATTTTATTTTGGTTTTTAGATGAATATGTTTGGCATGCTAATCGTCCAGTTAATATGATATTAGCTACGGGAGTTCAATTACCAAATGTATTAACAGAAGCAGCAGCAAATACGAATATTGAAAGTGAACAATTCTTTTCAAATATGATTGAAGATATTATTACTGAATATCAAAAACGACATCCAGGTGATCATTATTCTGCATTAAAACAATGGAAACAAAAACACGTAAGAATAAATCATTTATTTTTTAAATTAAAAATTATTACCAGAGAAATTCATTGAAAAAAAACGACGTCGATGGATTATTTTGAAAATTAAATTTTATCGATAATTTATTTTTATATTTCTATCTGACATAAATAATTATTCTAAAAAACTTTGACAAGAAAAAATAGAATTCAAAAACGATTACAAATCATTATCGGAAGTACAAGTCAAATTCTGCTTTGGAATAACAAAATGAAAAAGCGATAGCTCCGGTTCAATTCTCAAAATATCATATTCTATTATTTACGAGATAAAGCATCAATCTAATATTGTTAAGATGATACATTCTAAGTACACTTTTAGAAATAATCTTATTCAGAATTATAAATAAACGAGATATTTCTTGCAATAGATAAATTATTTCTAATACAATAATTTTATTTATTTTAAAGAATGTTGATCATTACACTGAATCAATAACACCTAATCGAATGAATGGGTTTGAAACACTTATTGATGTTGTACAACGACGTCATTTAGGAAAATTACAACGATATTTTCTTAATGTAGTTTCAACAAATCGTCATTTTAATCCATATGATCTTATTACAGTGCCTGATAATAAAGTATAATTCTTTAGTAATTTATTATCAAATAATAAATATAGTTTATTTTTAATTGAAAGGTTAATCCAGAAAATCATTATGTTTTTTCAGTATTTGGAATATTACATGTTCGACAAAGTGGACAAGATGTCGAATTTCTTGAATTAGCTGAATGGTATAGACATGCAAAATTATGGCATGCATGTCAACAAATTCCATTTTTTCGAGATTATCTCGTGAGAAAACAATTCAATTTGTAAGTTTTTTTTAAATATATATTATGATCTATAAACTAAATTATTCTTCATAAGAAAATTACTGAAAATAAGCAATATATTTCTTACATATAGAATATTCAATCGAAGGGAGAGAGGATCAATATTTAGGTGCAATGCTTTTGTATCTTGTAACATGCCTCATCTGTTTATATAATTAGTTTTCCTATTCATGGCTTCCATTCTGAAACAAACTTGAATTTTCTGCTCTCGTACATGTTTTTTGTTCGTTTTTGAATATCATATGAGAAACTCAGTAAATCAAAAGAGATTTAGAACTGATCCACATAAAATTCTTTTTATCAAATTAATTTATTTTAAATTGAATGAAGAAAAACAAATATATTTTTTTAATAGATGGTTATCTAATGCTCGATTTGTTCGATTTGCTCGACGTCGATTTGAAATAAGTGAAAAACATCTTTTATTCATACATAATCCAATATTCCAAATGGCAATACTTGAAATTCGACGTGTTATTCATGAATATCAACGATTAACATTACTCCCACAATTATTTTCGTAAATATAATTTGTCTTTTTAAATAAACTTAAATATTTTCGTCTTTTTTTCTTCTAAAGAGGAGCATCATTATCATTTAATGATCTCGAAACAACAGTTAATGAACATACAAGAGATATAATAGAATATACAAAAAAATTTTATAATCATATTAAAACAATTCTTAATATGACACGTGAAACATCTGGAAAAAAATTACATGCCATTTTAAAATGTCTTAATGATGATACTCTGATGTTGTAAGTTTTATTTTGAAATACAAAGACAAAAAGAATATTATTATATTCTAGTAATACAGCATCTGCTTCATTATATGAACAACGAATAAGAAAAGAAAATTTACGTAAAGAACTTGAACAAATGCAAAATGATATTCGGTAAAAGAAAATTTTGTTTTATAGTGTAAAGAAAACTTTTTCTTATTTTAGAAAGATTTGTCCATTTTTAAATTTATGCTCAGCTATGTTAGCATCTTGTTTATGTTATATGCAATATGAAACATTATCACAATTTAATCTTTCAAATGTAACACTTCTAACAAAACTTTATTTAAGTGATACGAATTGTAAGTTCTTATCTTTTATTTTTTTTTGAAATATAAATTAAAATTTGTTTTAAAAGCCAATCATATGCTTCAATATTTTCCATCTCGAGATGATTATCTTGAAATACTTCAATTAATTTTACATAAACCACAACAAATACTTGAAGAACAATGGAAAAATATTTTAGAATTAAATACTTGTTTAAGAAATACTGATAAATTTGGTGAAATTGCTCGACAAGAAGGGTAAATATTATTTATTATATAGATTTTCTTATTTTTATTTTTCGATTTAAAGATTAACAAGTCAATGTGAAAAATGTGGACAAGAACTCTATCCTGGTCTACAAGAAACATCATCAAATTCGTGTAAATGTAAAAAACAACAATCAAAAGGTTTGTATATCACATTCAACACAATGAAATCCACTTTATTTTAACAAGAAATTCAATAGAAAAATACTTTTTTCCATTGTTTTTCTTAGTCAAAAGTCATACACAATATGTCATCTATTATGCCGGGGCTACTATCGAATTATTTATTACATAGTAGGATGCTTCTCATTAAAATAGACAAAACAGAAAGTTTTCATTTTCTTTGCTGCTGCATGATTCTCTTCTCTTGATTACTGCTGCTTGTTTTTTTCGAAATAGCGAGTATAGCGAATTGAGGCTTTGCACACAAATCTTTGCTTTTCTCCGAGCTTATGATTAGCGAGTTTGCGATGCGACTAGGAGATTTTCAGCTTCCTAAATAGTATATCAACGAGTAAAAATCGTACTAGACTTTCATTTTACTCCACCATCAGTAACTTATTCGTTGGAACTCGAAGGTTCAAAGTCCATTCTATAAAAATCATTATTTAAACAGTTCACGTTCTCTTTTGCATCAGTTCTGTTATCTTACGTATTCTTCCTATAACATATTAAAGAACGAGAAACTAACGTGAAAGATCCTTCATATGACTTACAGAAATAACTAATTGCGCTCTATAGTAAAATGATTGATCTTATACAAGAAATAAACTATTGTATTTGATCTAAAATGTATTTTTTTTCTATTTCATTTAAATAGTTTCGACGAATGAATCAAATGATCTGTTAATCAAAGGTCATGGATTTTTTGGTAGTACAACACGAAATGAGATTTTACCATTCGAGCTTATATTCACAAAAGAGTAAGTTCATATTATTTAATTAACCTTTTCAGGATAGATGTCTATTTCTAATACGATTTGCATGATTATTCCTCTATTTTCTTGTTTGTCTTTTCCACATGAATCCACCATGCTATATTTTCCTAAATTATTCTTTCACGTATACAAGTAAGTACGGTACTCTTAGGTGGCATCATCATCTTTGTCTTTCTATAGTGACTATCTGAAAACAAATGAAATATAAGAATGAATTGATTTTTATTTAATTTTAGTACAAAATATGAAGATGAAATAAAGAATATTTTATCACAAGTTAATTTATCATTCGATGAATTAGATTCATATTGTGAATCAAATGAATGGTTATGTGAAATAAAAACATTCTGTTTACAATGGACACCAAATCAAATGAAACAATTATCAGAAGGAAAACAAATATTTCCTATTGAAGTTTGTTTAAAATTTCTTTTTTTTTTATTTTAAAATATTCTTCTTATTTCTAAAAAAGGAACAATTAAAACTTCTTCGTGTTTGGATTGATAAAACTCGAACATTTGAATTAACATTTTCAACATCAATATCTCCTTATGTTATTCAAATGAATTGTTCTGTGATAACTGAAAATCTTTATAAAGCAATTCATAAAATTAATTTAGATCTTGGAAAATATCTTTATGATTATGCTTTTTCAAATATAGATAGATTTATTAAGAAATTTCAACATGCTTGTGAAGTTAGTTATAATTAATTTGATGTTTTAACAAAACGATTGAATATTTTTCTTCAAGGTATTTGATCAACGACCTAAAGCTCTTGAAGATTTTTCTCAATATGTTAGTTTTTTAACTTCACATAAAACAGAATTATCATCCTATCAACAAGATATTGATTATCTTACAACTCTTTATGAAGTAAAATTTCTTTTTATATTTTAAAAAAAAAAAACGAATCAAAATTTTCTTTTAGATTGTATCTACACATTTTGGTCATTTACGTCAAGATAATGATGAGGAACCCGTTCATAAACAATTAATTGAAATATGGAAAATATTTCAAGAAAAATTATCTGATGGTGCAAATTTTATTGTACAAGAAATTTTAATTGTTAAAGAAAATTTACGTGAAATCTTTGACGTAATTAAATTAATTTTTTTGGAAATGAATATGTTTTTTTAAAAATATTATTTTTATTAGAAATTATTACATGAATGTGACATATTACATGACGAATCAACAAGTGGAAATTTTCTTGATCCAACACAAGATCCATTACAAATGATTAAACAATTAAAAAAAGTTTGAAAAAACCGAATTTCTCTAATGAAAAAAAATTTTAAATATTTTTAGAATTCTATTCAATTTGAAAATCTTGCAAAACAATTAAAAAAATATGCAGATTGGAGAATACTATTAGCGGCAAATAGTTTAAATCCTTTAGATACAGATCAAATCGATATGAATGATATGGATGATGTTAATTGTTGGTCTATGGAAATTGAATATAGAAAAGATTTATGGAAATATGTTGAAATAACATCAACTTCAATTAAAGAATGGAAAAATACATTTCTTAAAAAAGTATTTATTTTTATTTCATTCAAAAAATTCACAAACCGACAACTATATCTATTCATATAAATAACATTCTACTAATCTTCATAAACGATATATTCGAAGTGCTGCCAATTTCAAAAAGAAAGGGTGTGGATGAGTGAGTGCGTGGGTGAGCGGGCGTAGGTAAAGCTACTTCATTTTCATCCACGCCCATACCCACACCCACACATCCTAAACATGATAATTGTTTCGTATATTTGATGTAGAACGTTATTTCTATGAATAGATAAAGTGAACTTTTGAATGACCTTTATGTAAATAATTTAATTTTAGTTTAATATTCCTCGAGCACGCGAAAAACTTGAATGTTGGTTAAAAATAGCTGAAGATTTTAAAGAAAAAATCTCGTCGGATGATCCAATTGTTTGTTATTGGATAGAAATGCTTACAAATTTTGAACAAAATATTGAATTACTTGAAAAATTATTAAGTGATGCTATGACTGTATGTTATATTTTTAAATAATAAAATAAATAGTTGAATATTTTGTTTTAAAAAGGGAGAACAATGGAGACTTCTTTTTCGTGCAAATGGTCATGATTATGATCCACAATTTAATTATCGTATACAAGATTTAATTGATTTAAATATTCTTCGTATTGAAAATTATGATGTTTTCATGCAAATACATAAACATGCAACAAAAGAACAAAAACTTAAAGAAAAATTATCACAAATGCAAACATGGTTAAATGAACTTTATTATCGAATGATTAAATATGGATCTGCTCATAAAACAAACTCAGGTAAGACTTTTTAAAATGAACACTAATCAATAACAGAGTCAATCGATATTAAAAATTTGAACTGTAGTTTAATCTCGATATTTATTTAGTTCAAAAGCGTTTAACATCTTCTTATCGTCAACGTCTAAATCGATATCGTGATTTACGTTCACGTACATCAATGAATCAAGAAAATTCACCCGAAACAGTTTCAGCTAAAGAAACATCAATTGGACATGATGATGAAGCTTATATTATGCTGAATTCTCAAGAACTTCTTCGTTTAATTGAAGATCGTTCATTATTATTACATACAAATGAACCATTTCATATTGATATGGATAATTGTCGTGAACAATTTCAACAATATTATATATTATTTGATGATATTAAATATATAACACAAACATGGTATGAAATACAAAATAAATGGATGTTTTTAAGAAGTGCTTTACTTAATTTAAATATAACAAATGATGATCAAACATATTTAAAAGATTTTTACCAAAAATTTATAAATGTTGACGAAAGTTTTCGAGTAAGAACAAAAACTTTACTTTTCTTTTAAAATCAATTTTGATTTCATTTATTTATTAGACTTTTCAAAAATTTGCATTTCAAAATCCATCTGTTGCTGGTTTAGTTAAAGTTGAAATGAATCAAAAATATTTTCAAAACTGGCTACAAATTTTCGTAAGTTTAAATTTATCTTTTGAATAACTTATTTTTCTTTTATATTTTTAAGGATGAATTAATAAAAGAATTTGAATTTTATTTAAATGAACAATATCGATCAAAATTTAATCGATTTTACTTTTTAACAAATCATGAACTTATTACTTTAATTTCATTTGGTCTTGATCCAAGATATTATATTCCATATGTCAGACAATTATTTCAAGGTATTCATAATATTCAATTTCATTTACCAGAACAATCAATTGGAGCATCAACAAATCAAGCAATTAATTCAGCTGCTATTGATATTTATGGTAAACAATTTATTTGATTTACATTCTATAATGACAAAAGTCACTTTTTCCTATTCCTAATTCTTTTTGAGGGTGTGGGTGTAGAATTAGGTTGAGTATAACATCCACCCTCACCATCACTCACATCCGCCCACCCTATGAATAGATGGTATAAAAAAATTTGTTTTTTTTCTTAGCTTATCGATTGGAAGGTGTGTCAATATCAAATATAAATAATGAAGAATTATCATTAATATCAAAATTAAAATTATCTTTACCATCAGTCGATACTACTGGATTAAATACGCATATAATTAGTAGTCAAAGTTTAACAAAATGGTTTAGATCGTTGGAAAATTCAATGAAACATTCATTAAGAAAATATATTTTTCATTTATTGGATAAAAAAATTAATGAACAATTAGATAATATATTTTGTGAACAAACAACAAATAATTTTAATGAGAATGAATACCCATTACAAGTTACTTCAATTGTTGAACATATTTTATTTAATACAATACTTGAGAAACAAATCGAGAAAAAATCAAAATTATTTATTCGAAAAATCAAGTTTGTTCTTTTCTTTTTTCTTCTAGAAAAAAATTTATTTTAATAAAATTTAGATTACAAATTGAAGAGAAAATAAATCAATTAATTCAAAATAAAAATAAGCAACGAAATTCTTTAATTATTCAACAATTATATTTTCGAGATGTTTTAACAAGTAAAATCGAATTTCTTTTCGAAATTTCTTTTATTTCTTTTTTTAAGAATTAATTGATCTCGAAGATAACTTAACATTAAATAGTTATGAATGGTTATCTTTAATTAAATATGAAATCAATCTAAATGCTCGAACACATAAGAAAATTAATTTTCTACAATTTTCTAATCGAATTTATTACAATTTTGAATATATGGGTAAAAGATTTATTTTATTAAATGAATTTTTTATTCAAATGAATTTTATTTAGAACCATCATCCACATTTATTATTTCACCATTAATGGAAAAAACATTATTTCAATTAACTCAAGCAATTTGTACATATCGAATTGGAGTTGTTCATGCACCACCACAATATGGACGATCATCAAGTATTCATACATTAGCACAGGTTTGTAATTCGTATTCTTTTATAAAATGAATCTTGAATGAAAAGAATATATGTTGTTTAGTTATGTGGAACAAATTTTGTTAGTTTATCATGTAATTCAGTAACCGAAGTTGAACAAATAAAAAATTTTCATCAAGGTTTAATTACATCAAATAATTGGTGTTTATTCAAAGATATTCATCGACTTTCAACAGGTAACAAATATTTCAGATTTAACTCGAGCGACTGCATAGTTTTATTAAATATTCTAATCATGACTAAATAATGAGAGATGTCTATCCGGAACGTCGGCAATAGGAGAGTTTTATTGGCGAAGATTCGAAATCGCTCTTTATCAGCAAAACTGAAGTATTAAATCTTTAATGTAGCGATGAAAAAATATTAAATAAACGTATATCTATTCTGTCTGGCTATTTGATAATTCAGCTTTTCGACAACTTGTACTCAATTGCTATTTCCAAAGAAATAATGATCTATTTCGTTTTAAAACAAAATAATCTTTTCAAATCTTTAGATTGTTTATCTTCATTGGCAATTGCTATGCGTTATATTCGTATGCAATTAGAAGAACGTCAAACATTATTCAATAATTCTTATCAATCACTTAAACGATCAAAATCTCAATCAGATTTAGTTAATTCATCACCATCGTCATTGCAAATTTCTCAAGTATTTTGAAAGAAAAAAAGTGATTGTTATAGTTTAAATTTCTTTGTAGGATAAAATCTATTCAAATGAATATCCAATGATTAAGAAAATCGATGATGATTATACTTTTATCATCGATACTAATCAAGAAATACTTCAATATCCATTAACATATGGAGTATTTGCTACATTTGATGATTATTATCAACCTTTATCATCAACTATTAAAGTAAATCTTGTTCTTTTTTAAGTATATTAATTAAAATAAAATCTTTCCTCTTCAGTTTGAATGTCGAACAATTTCAATATCACGTCCTGATTTTAAAATTCTTGCTCAATCATTATTATATATAAATCGATTATTTACAATCGAAGAATATGAAAATTGTTCTAAAACAGCACAAAATCTCGTTGATTTTCTTGAATGTTCACAATTAATTGTAAGTTTTACACAAAATTTTCTTATTTTTAACAAAATAAAATTGTTTTTTTTAATCCAGTTTGATGAAATGAAATGTTTTTATTCTCCATATATACTTCTTCGATCAATAATTGAACAATCGATAAATATGAATATAAAACAAGCAATTATTACTATATTTAAACAACATCATTTATATGATTCAAATATACAGAAAATAATTGAGAAATTTTTTAATGAAAATTCCAATGAAGTCAATGAAAATGATAATGAATTCTGTTTTGTTGATAATTTAAAACAAGAAGCATATGATAATAAAATTACTTTTGATGATGATGATATATTTAATAATGTATTTAGAAATTATCTTTTATCATAAAATAAAATATCCGTTTTTTTATTCTTTAGGCATCTCGTTTAATGAATGCAGTTAAACGAAATGATTTTATATTTATTATTGGACAATGTGGTTCAGCTAAATCAAGTTTAATTCGTCTTGTTGAACGAACAATGAATAAACAAATGAGTTTGACTAATGTAAGTTACATAATATTATTTAATAGATTAATCTAAACAATTCTTAAGACTAATTCAAATGAACAACAGAAAACAATTGTACCATATACAATATTTCCAAATTCATTCGATGAAGATCAAGTAAGAATTAATTCTATTCAACTGGATCAATAAACGAATTTGTCTATTTAATAGTTTTATCAAACAAAGAATAGTTTTATTGAACAATGGAAACAATATTATACAATAACACATGCAAATGATACAGTATAGAATTATTTTTTGAATTTTTTATCAATAAGAAAATATTTATTCATTTAGAATTCAGAAGAATATTGGATTATTTTTGATATTGATTCTCATACAAATTGGTTAACATGTGAAAAAATTCAATATTTATATAAAGAACTTCTTTCTTCTGTATCGCGTCAAAATGGTAAGAAGAAAAATAATTTAAAAAATATATTATTCGATTTTCTTTTACAAAAGGTTCGATAAAATTCATCATTGAATGTGATAGTTTACCAAATGATTTTTCTCATAAAAATTCCATATTTGATCAAAGTTATACATTAAATCTTAATAAATTTCAATCTCGAACGAAATTAATTCAATCAGCTGTAACGAATCTTGAACTAAAACTTCATTTTAGAGATTCAACGTAAATAATTAATTTCTTATTTTTTTCTTCTAAATAATTCTTTGAATGTATTTCTAATAGATTATCATCAATACAAGATTTTATCAATGATATTATTGAACCTTATATAGAATATATCGAAAAAGAACATATTTGTCAATCATATATAAATAATTTAACAGATTCATTTATTAAAATTCTTTTAGCATTTATTGAACAACATGTTATTGATGTACAAAATCATCATCATGCTCTTGATTATGTATTTGCTTATTGTTTTATATGGGCTTATGTTCATCCAATTCATCCAAAGTAAAACACGTTTTTCTATTTTTGAAATTCTATTTAAATTTTTATTTAGATATGAACAACAAGTTACTTTATTTGTTCGAGAACTTTTAAAATCTTATAATTTTCCTTCAATAAATTGTAAATTAACTGATTTATATCCTGATATGGCTGCAACACCATCAGCTTGTTTTATTCCTGTTCAATTATGGTTAAAAACACATGATATAACTTATAATTGTATACCTGAATTTGAAGGTGCCATGCGTTTAATGTCAATACTTGTAACATACAATTATCCAATAGGTATTTATAGTTATGAACAAGGTTTAGGTAAAACAACATTAATGAAAAATTTATTAACGAATATTTCTCATGTTCGTCTCATTTCAACTGGTGAACGAAAATCAATATTACGTGATGAATTATATAAATATAATTTACCTTTATTATCACTTGGGAAAATAACACAAGGAACAAAATTTGTACTTTGGTTTGAAGATGTTAAAGATGATGATGTAGATTTAATTCGTTCATTAATCGATGAATATTCGTCATCAAAACAACAAAGTTTAAATATTGTTTTAACTGGTCAATCATATTATTCGTATTCATCACGTTTTTCAAGACATTTCATTCCAATTATTATTCAAGAACCAATTTCAACGTTGATTAGTTCAATTTATTCAATAACAGTTAAAGATTGGTTAGAAGAATTTCCTGTTGATGCAATAAATCATCCAGTTGAATTAGCTCATGCATGTCTTTTAACATTAGAAGAAATATTTGAGTTTTTAAAAGAAAATTTCAAAAAAATTCAATGGAATTTACATCATGCTGATGCTGTTATTAATGGAATGTTTCTTTTAGAAGCGAAAGCTAAACGAAATGGTGGTGGTGGAAAATCAAATAAAGAATTAAATAAAATAACACCAAGATTTAATAAAAAAAAACAAGGAGAACAAATTGCCATTATTATTCGATTATTATGTCATGAACTTTCACAAGTCATACTTGATCGATTAACAAATACGAATGGTATACATTTTTAGAAGATTTTTTTAATAATTATCTTTTTCTTTTGTTTAGATCGTATTCTATTTCAAGAATTCCTTTATAAAACAATTATAGCAAATTTTTGTACAGAATTGGAATTTCATGTTGCCCCAAATAATAGTTTTGATACAGATCAGAATTTTCCAGATAACTCATCAATTACAAATCCATCAACAGTTGTAAAAAAACAAGTTAAATTTAAATTAAATTCTTCAATTGAACGAGCAGCAATACCTCCATTAGAAGGACCTATTATTTCATTTGGAAAAATAATTGGTATACCAAAATTAAAAGATCCATCAAAAATACCTGATACAGAAGTTATAATTGAAAAATTAACTATGTCAACATATTTTTCTAAACAAATTCCTTCAATGCATACAAATTTTACGGGTGAAAAAGATTTAAATACAAATCAATATCAAGAATTAAATGATATTCAAATGAATACAGCACTTCAATCATGTCAATCACATATGGGCAAATTAACACATATGGATTTAGCATTTCTTCCTCGTACATGTCGTCATATAGCCAATCTTGTTCGTGTATTTTCTTTACCACAAAATGGTCATGCATTACTTCGAACTAATCATATTGGTTTAGGTCGTCAAGATTTAGTTCAATTATCTGCTTATATAGCTGGACAACAATTTTTTGATGCACATAGTTATATACCAAATATTGATGAAAATCAATCAGTTAAACAATGTCTTCGATCATCTTGTCTTTTAGCTGGATTAAAACAAAAAAATATTGTTGTACTTATACGAGAAAATTTTCTTTCGGAAGAAATGATTAAACAATTATATGTATTTACATGCGAAGGGATTTATCCAGGTCTTTATTCAAATGAAGAACTTATTCGTATTGCTGCTGCACTTTCACCTGGTTTACCAACAAATCGTCGAGTAACAAAAACAAGTTCAGTTTTAAGAACATTCTATGGAAGAATTAGAAAACGATTACATTTAGTTATACTTGAAAATGATCGACGTATTTATTTTATTTTTATTTTTCAGTATCTAATTATTTTTACTTATTAGATCTTCAACATAAAGGTTTATTATCTTCATGTTATGTAGATGAATATAATAATTGGACAAAAGAAGAAATAACATCTATTGCGAAGTATTGGATGGCAAAAAAAGTTGTAAGTCATAAGAAGATTAGATGTATTTTTTCTCCAAATATTCGCCTTTTTTTGTTATGCGAGAATTTTACTTCTATTGAATCAACAGAGTTAGTTAGAGTTTCCCTATCAGAGAAATTCCATATTGATATTTTTCATTGTTGAGCAACTTGAATATTTTTTTAGAATGTTATACATACAATGGAACCAACATCATCATTTGATTTAGCTTGTCAAGCTTTGGCGGAAATCTATTTATCGATGGAACATTTTCGATTATTTACTTTAAAAAATATTCGAAAAACAATTGAAATCTTCTTTAAATTCTATCAAACTATTCATGAAAAAGAATCCGTAAGTTTCTTATTTTTAACAATATTAAATAAAAAAATATTTTTGTTAGTTTCGTTTATCTCGTTGTGAATCAATGCTTAATCGTACGAATAAATCTAAACAGGTTATTCAAATGAATGAAGAATTATGTGTTGAACTTCAAAATGAAATTGATATTTTACAAGAAATATTATCTGAATTAGATAATGAACTTAAAATAAGAAAGAAAAATTTTTCTCTTGTAAGTATTTTCTTTTAAAGAGCGAAAATCAAATTAAACTAATATTTGAAATTAATTAGGCTGTAGATGATTGTCGTGAAGAAGAAAAATTATTAAATGAAATGTTGACTGCATTAGAACGACTTCGTAAAGATGTCGAAGCTGCTGTTGCAAATGCTAATCCACAATATGAAAATGCTTTAAATGCATTAAAACAATTAAATAAAGCTGATTATGATGAAATTCGAACATTTAGACAACCACCACAACCGGTACTTGCTGTTATGAATACAATATGTATTATGTTTCATCGAAAACCTGAGTATTTGATTTCGAAACAAAAAATTAATTTCTTATTTACATATTTTTAGATGGTCCGAAGCGAAAATTTTAATGACAAAAGACGATTTTTTTGACGATCTGATTTTTTATGATAAAGATAATGTATCCGATGAAGTATTTGATATGTTAACAAAAATAGTTAGTTTTGATACATTTCGTCCATCATTTGTTAAAACTGCTTCGAAAGCAGCATCAAGTCTTTGTGCATGGATTCTTGCTGTTTATGAATATGCCAAAGTGGCACGAGCACAAAAAACATTACGTGAACAAGTTAAAGCTTATGAAGAACTTTATAATAAGGTATACTTGAGAGTGTGGGTGCCTGTGTTTTACTTCACCCGTACCCATATCTATTTTTCGAATCTTCATATTTCTGATCAATTATTCTTTATTTATTTTTCTAGCGTCAACAAATTTTGGGTGAAAAACGTCTTTATGCTGAAAAATTAAAAGACGAATTAGCTGAATATATTAGAAAACGTCGTGCACATTTTAATGATTTACAATCGAAACAAAAACGATTAAATAATTTACGATCTGTAATTGATCAAACGCAATCTATGTTGAAATTAATTGCTAATGATATTTCTCATTGGCAAGATCAACTTCAACAAGGAAAATTAAATAAAAAAACTGTTATTACTGATGCACTTCTAATCTCTCTTTATTTTTGTTATTTATCACAATTTAATATTGATCAACGACAACAATTATTAATTAATTGGCAAACAAATATTTTACAAAGTATATTACCAATTCGATCCAATTTTAATCTTCTTGATATTATTACTGATGAAAAAGGTTTGAATATTTGATATTTTATTTATTAAAAAATAAATGAAGTATTTTTGTTTTTAGAATTAAATGATTATTTGTTAAAACATGAAACAAGAACAATGCATGATAAAAATTCAATTTTAAATGCAATTATATTAGCTAATCAACTTGATACAACATTTGTTTTATTTATAAATAATCCTGAAAATGATATATTACTATGGAATGATTTATTGATTAGTTTAAAAGATCTTAATGGAGAAAGAGCAAATCACGGTGAGAATAAAACGATAAATTTCGTTTTTGTATTTTATAGAAAATATTTATTTAGAAATTGAATTATATTATGAATATAAACAAAATGCAAGTAATAACTCATCAGCTACAAGTCGTGGAACAAATTCTCTAGATCAATCACAAGTTTATTCACGTATTAATTCAAGTAAAACATCTGTTACTGAATTAACAGAAAAATCATCTGTTTGGGGATCATCAGCAAGTGCATCTAGAGCAGCTACATCGTTCGTATTTTTAATAGATTTTATCTTATTTTATTTTATCGTTTATTTGTCTAGAACACTTATATCAAAACCAGTTGGAAAAGTAACATTAAATGATGATGAAAAAAGTAAATATTCAATTACAATACCAGAATTCTCTCTTGAAGACTATCAAAGACCAACAAATAATATTATTTATTTATCTGGAAAACAAACAGATGATTTTGATAAAGAATTATTAACTGCTATGTTTTTCGGTAAGAAATTAATTCTCTATTCAACTTTTATTAAGCTATACATTAAAAAGCGAGTCCTCGGACGAGCGTTACTTGTTTTATCAGAGTTTTTTTCGGGTGTGCGAATCGAAATTTTGAGTGGGTGCCGTACACCCGCTAGATAAAACACTGATTGATTGATTATTTTAGGTAATATTGTCATAATTAATGAATGTGATTTATTAAATTTAAATCCATTTGTGTATCGATTTATTTATTGGTCATCAAGACGAGATCAATACTTGAGAGCATTTCCAAATCTCTATCGTTTTGGTGATCAAGATATATTTATTAATTCATCATTTCGTCTTATTCTTAATTATTATCAAGTCGATCATAATCGTATGTATTACAAAAAAGAAAAAAGAAATACATTTTTCCTCTAATTATTTTAGAATGGAATAATCTTTTATTAAAAAATCGTTTAATTGATATGAGTTTAAATTTAAATAAACTCGAAAGTGATTTTTGGCTTCGTTTGATTGAATTAAGATGTCAAAAAGATTTTATAAAACAAGTCGGTTCAAATCATCGAAGACAATTAATAAGTTTGAATGAACAATATCAACGACGTGTATGTTTTATTTCTCAATCAATTTCATAACTAAATATTATTTTTCTAGGAAAATTTAACTGATCTACTTGAAACAAAAGAAAATTTAACAATTGATTCTACTGAATTATTATCCGCATTAAATAATTCGAATGAAGAACGCATTTCAATTGAATCTTGTCTGAATGAATATCGTATTCAATATAATGTTTTATGTACACGAACAGGAAGTGAAGCATATAAAGAAATCGCAAGACAACTAGCACAATTGTATATTTTATTACGAGATTCAATAATTGAATTAAAAATTTCATTGAATTGGTTTTTACAACTTTTAACAAATAATTTACCGCGACGAATTGAAATAACAACAAATACAGATCCATCAAATTATAGTTCAGATATGATTAATAAAATTCAAGCAAGAGAAACATATCTTCGCTGTTTTGAATCAATTTATTCTTATTTTCTATCAAGTATGTCGAATGAACAACTTGAATATTTTCTTACAATATTTGCATTAATTACACAAGATAATATTGAAAATATTTATTTATTTAAATTTATTCTTCAAAAACTTAATCCGATCAATCAACAAATAATTCCAGATTTTCTTGATGATAAAAATCGACCATTATTTATTAATAAATATTCTTGGTCATTATGTCTTTCAAATGAAATCAATAAAAAATATCCAAATTTATCCCAACATTTAATTGATTATGAATATGAATGGAAAGAATATTTATTTTCAACAAATAAACTTGATTTTATGAATAAATCTCCATATGAAAAATCAACAACATTAACTATTATCGATCGTTTTATTCTTTCTATTATTTTATTACCTAACAAAATTCCTGATCTTATTCATACGTTCTTAATATATCATTATGGTGGCCTTCTACGTGATAAATCTCTCTCATCCATTGATGATGTTTATCAATTAACAAGTAGTAAAATTCTTAATCCAACAAATAATATAATTCTTGTTTGGATAAGTATGTTAATTTATTAGAAATAATAAAAAAATGTATAGTATTGTTTTAGGTTCATCAGCATTTATTGATCCAATTGATGAAATTCGAAGATTAGCATATGAAATGAACCAATCTATTCGACTTGTATCATCCATTGAGAAAAAACGTTTAAATCGTTTTGTTGAAAGTGAAAAAGATTGTTGGTTAATTATTACAAATATCGATCTTTTCAATGATGATCTTCAACAAATTCAAGTAAAATTCATCGAACAAATAAAAATTTGAAAAATTAATAATTTTTACTTAGGATTTTCTATTAACATCAAATGAGAAAAAAATTTGGCTTATTTGTGATCCTTTATATCAAAATAAAGTACCTCGTAAGTTAGGAAATTAAAAATATATTTTATAAAGAAAGTATTTATTTTTTCAGATTGGTTAATCCAACGATGTTTACAAGTATATTTAAGTGATTCGACTCAATCAGCACTTTATTTTCGTCTTCAACAAAAACTTTCATCGATTGAAAATTTTAAAAAATTACACAAACAAATCGAACCAATTCTTCATATACATACATATATGATTTCGAAAAAAATCTTTCCGAATAATTTTACGGAAAATAATTTTTTTATTGATTTAAAACATTGTTTTGATACAAATCAAACCAATATGATTGATTATACAAATTTTATTCAAAATGAAGATGAACATACATTAATCCAGTATCTTAAACAAGTAAATAATCAAATTCTTTTCATATTATTATTCACTCTCATTCATATTTAGAGTTCTGATCCATCTTCTCTAGTTAAAATTCTACCAGATCCATTACAATTACCAACAACTAAACTTTTCATAACATTTCAATGTTTATTCAATAGTATGATTTTACCAACAGAATTAGTTTATTCAACAAAAGACGATAAAATGATTCTTGTTGAACCAATTGTTCGTAATTATTTAACATATCTTCGTTCAATTGATTCTGATCAATGTTTGGATTCAACAAGTTCATCAATAATGGATTTATTTATTTTAATTGAATATCGTTTATTGCAGAAATTACAGAATAATTTATGTAAACAAATGGAACATCTTGTAGAAGTTTTTGATAATATTGAAATTCCTTCATCAAATACAAATTCATCAATTCGATCGATTTTATATGATTCAAATTCGACGATAAATGATTTTGTAACAAATTGTGGTTTAGCTTTAGGAAATCTTTCGAAAAACACATCGAATAATATTAATTTAAGATTTATTCGTAGACGAAAACAATTCATTCAGCTTATGCGTCTTCAACAAAATGAAAATCTCATCTTTCATGTAAGTTATTTTGTATCAAATGAATAGAATTATTAATTTTAACTCTATTTAGTTAAAATATAATGAAAAATCACAAAGAAAAAATAATTTATCCATGTCAGGTATTCATTTAACGAAGAATACTAATAAAAAAGATGTTATTATTTGTCTGGATAAAATTTCTCCAAATGATATTCCTGTTATGACAAGTATTACATTAGATACAAATGAAAACAACATTCCAAGTTATCTTCCAGTGATTAATAGTGATAAAAATAATACCTCGGAACTTATTTTATTGTCGATTGATAAGCCTCATATTTAAAAAAGAATATAAAACTATATTTTTTCCTATCTTTATATTCTTTTCTTTTGTAATTTTTCTTTCTGCCGGTTTGTCGAGTTAATAAATGAAAAGATCATGAATGATGAAAATAACTAAACTTTCATTACTCATAACAATTATATGCACATATGAGTAATAGAAACAAAATATTAGAGAAGGACATAAGTCAGCGAAGAAGAAGTGAATGATGAGAATTGAAATATATCGAATATTATTGTTAAAAGACAATGTCATATCATCAAATCACAAATCAATATAACATAAAGATAATCTCAGATTCAGATAAAATCCAATGTCGTATCCTATAGCCAGAAGAAAGAATATAAAATCGAATACAAATTTAAAGATTAGTTATTATTATTATTAAAGATTTTCAATATATAGAATCACTGTAAAGTATATAACAATTATTGTTCTAATCATTCACATAACAAATAATCAAACTAATCGAATATCTACTCAACTGTTTCATGTCGATATTGGAATTTGAATTGCAAGTACTTTTTCAGCAAAGTAAAGACTTGAAAAGATCATTATTAATTTAAGATTGTTTATTGCATATTAATAATTTAAATATTGAATCTGTTGAAATTTAATTTCATACATATTATAAAATAAAATAAATTCTATCTTGATTTGTTCTTAGTATAAATCAATTGTGTTTAATATTGCATCATTTTATTATTTTATATCTTTTAAAAAATAAAATATAAATAATTGTATACAATAGAACAACAGATGTATTAAAAACGATATATACATTAATATAATAATTTTAATCACTGTCTAATGTTCGATACCAATAGAATTGTAATTGATGAATATATTCATCTGATCTTCCAGTAACATACCATAATGTATAGTTCTTATATTCTTCTTCAAACATGTCTCCTTCTTCATTACCACTATATGATGGACTAGCATGACCATTTGTTGTGTAAAATTGAAGTCCTGTTATTATTGGCATTGTTAAATTTGTACCATTTGAAAAAGTAATGATTTTCTTCAAATATTGTCCTTCAACTCTTGCTATTTTTTCATTTTTGTCAAAGTAAAAATCTTTTTTAAAACTTAAAGTTTGCTTTCCATGCCTCTCTGATGTGATCATATTTTGATTATCAGACGAATTTGAATAATAAAATCGATAAGATTCTATACTATCATTATTATCATGAGTAATTATTCCATTTAGATAATGTGAACTTGTAAAATAGGGATGTGTAGAATCATCAAAATGAGTACCATATGCACTACCAAATTTTTGACCTTCAATAACTAATGAATTATCTAAAATAATTTAATAAGAATTTTAACTAGTACTAAATAATTTTTCTTCTCTTACTTTTCTTTTTATTTAGTAGTGTCAATTGATCATTGGCGTGTTGATTTTTTTCCAATATAGACTCATCTAATAATTGAATTGTTTCGTTATTTTTCTTTTGTTCTTCTAAAATATAATCGTATTTCAGTTTTAAATTTGATTTATTCATAGGATTCTATACTATCATTATTATCACCTGCACGTATTCCATTTAGATAATGTGAATTTGTAAAAGACGGATTTAATGAATTATTAGAATACGTTCCCTATGTACTACCATGTCTATTGCCAACTTTAACTAAGGTATTCTCTGAAAAAAATTCAATATATCCTCCCCTCTTCTTAGAAAAAAAAATTTACAGAAATTAGATTTTTTGTTTTTGTTTTTCTGAATAGACTAGGTGTTACTCTATTGATCTGCGTTCAAATGGTCCCGATCAAATCGATGGTTCATTTTTCATTGGATTTTTCACGAAAAATACTTGCTTCAAAAATTTGTCAAACTTTCTTTCTTTAATGAAATCTTCAAAAAATACTTTTCGCCAAACTTTTTGCAATAGGCTATCAATTAGAAGTAATATTAGCGATGCAATAGTATTTATGTAGCATGCTAAAAAGCAATCGGTGATGAAATCAGAGAAAACACAAGATATATTGTGAGTGAAAGTGAATGAATCTATACATGTTCGTTATACTTCATTTCTTAGGTGCATCAATATATGATGCTGGCATAAACTTCATGTCTAAAGTATTCCCAACCAGGAAAAGATAGAGAAAGTACATACTCTTTTTTGCGAGTTACAAAAAATCACGCGTTCAAAAGTTTCAAAAGTATTCAACAATTTTTATACTCGACTATTATATTCCAGCATAAATGAAAAACAGAATGTTCGGTGCTTTTCAGAAGAAAAGAAGAACAAACAGGACAGAGAGAGTAACATCAGGAAGAAAAGAGAGAATGAAGAAAATGAGAAGAGGGCAAGAGAAGAAAAGAGGAGACATAGTTTAGTTAAGGAAAACCACTACAAAAGAACTCTAAATGTCCGACGATAAAGTCATTAGCCTCACCGCTTCGAATTACTTAGGAGACTGCCAAGAAAAACAATTTTCAATTCTTCCCTGTCGAAAGATACGCTGTAAAAAATGTATTTTCATTTTTTTTTTCAAAACTATTTCTCAGGCAATGTGTTAACTTGCACTCCGGTAGACCACTCGTTAAAATTATCCAATCAAGCTGAAAATTTTACCATACATACTTCGAGATATTCGCTATAGGTAGAATCGACCGTTTTCTTTTCTGACAATCCGATTAGGCTTTATCTGAAGTTCAAAACAAAAGTGTTAGTTTTCTAGAAAACTTTGACGTATTTTTTTCACTTAGAACAAAGATAATGAGATTTTTGAAAAAGCTCAAAACTACTTCTGAGATAAATGCCTGGCTATCTGCAAAAGAATTTTCAGATCTATTGGACAAAGTCTGATAAGATCCCACGATGGCACAATAAAATCGCCTGGAATACCATGAAGATTGTTCAAAAATTTTTTTTCGAGAACACTTGTCCCATCAATTCAGGTACTCTATGTGTGATAAAAATTTCAGCTTGATCATTCTAGCCGTTTTCGGGTTCCAGCAAGGTCAAAAAAGAAGAACGGGATACCCTTGATTTATTTTTTGCTTCCTGTTCTTTTAAAATAACATCTTTCATTTTAATATCATCATTTAGTTTATTAATTTGAATACCTTTCATAAACGGAACAGTAATGAGTATTCCAATTGTACATAGTACTAATAAAATTATAATTACAACATATATTTTTAGTTTGAATGATGTGGAAAATTGTTTATGTTTATCGGAATGTAAAGGTTGTGCTTCTTCATCATCTAGAAAAATTATTACTGGATGAATATATCTTTTTAATTTTTATATAGTTACATTGATCTGCAAAAACTTCTGCTGTCGAAGGTGGCAGAGGTGGCATTATAGATATTAAACTTAGCATTGACTGATGAACATGAGTTAACTTCATTTGTTGCTGATGTTCTAAACAAGTAGAGTATAATGAGATATCAATTGACAAAACAGAAAAATCCAACCTTTTAAAATAGTGACTGCATCAAGACATCCAATTGTTTCAAATGCATTAATTAGATAAGTGAAATCATCTCCACTGATTATATCTCGATCAAAAAGTGATTCCATTGCACAAAGTGTACCACCAAGCGTTGGATCATCGCGAATTCGTCTTGGAATATCATCTCCAAAGAAAAAATGTAAATATTTTCGATCATCATCGCTAAGACGAGCTTGAATTTTTATAATAATTCGACGTAAATGAGAATTATCCATAGTTAAATTATGTTCACTGCAATTGCAATCTATTTAACAGAATATATTTATATTTCCTATAATGATTGAATGTATACAAATGTGAGACAAAGGTAAAAGTGATATATGTATTTTGTTTATAGAATAGATGTATCTCATATTTAATCTTAATTAAAAAAGAAAATTTCTAAATTTGATACGAATAGCTCATGACATAATTCTTTTTTCTTTCAAATTGAAACTAAAAACATTTTTGAACATCTGATATTCCCAATTATTATTATTTTTTTCTGTCAAAAACTGATGTAATTCATATTCTTTAATTAAAAGATGATCAAGAATTCTAATTGAGTTTAATCAAAGTCTTGGAAATTATTCTGTTAATAATGAGCAAGAACTTTATAGTGAGTTCTATGATCAAAGTCTCGGAAAAACGGGTAGCCAAATTTTTTAGACTTTCAAAAACGTATTGGAAATCGTTTCTTATTTTGTTATGATCTCTCATTTTTTTAAGGTAAAATCATAGAGAACGAAGTGACACTTCATTTTGCTCAGAATTTTGTGTTCTCCACGATATCTGTGCCAAGAAACAATTTCCATAAAGTTTTTAAAAAACTAAAAATTTAACTACCAGTTTTTTATGAGCTTTGATCATAGAACTCATTGATGAAATATTGTTAATAAATCATTTGGGACATAACAAAAGGTGCGTCACACGATTTATTCTCACTATATATATAATACTTGGCCATTAGTTTCAATTTTTTGTACATATATATAGCAAAGATGCTTACCATTATAATCTGAACATATCAATAAGAATGATGTCTTTTAAACACAAAATATTAAATTTTATAATGATTATTTTTCATACAAGAAGAAACAATGGAGGAAGTAATACTTGTAAAAGATAGTTTCAAAGAAACGATCGACATATAAATATACAGAATAATAATATAGATAGATAACAAAACTCATACGTGATATACAGAACAAACAAAATATTTAAGATAAAAACGAATAAAATTTTTTTCTTCGTAATATATCATGAATATAATGAAATATAATACAAAAAAAGAAGTTTTTTCTAAACATAAAAACTAAAGATTCAGACTTTTAATAATTCATATAAAATTGTTTATCATTGATCTAGCGATATCATTAATTACAAGTTTGAAATATATATTCAAGTTTTATTGTCGAGTATAATCACATGCATGTCTGTATATGAATCTATTTTCATATTCTGTCTATCTACATAGTTTTAAATATATTCATATATAATCCAAAGTTCGGTATGTTTTAATATTACCATGAAAGTTATTTCTCTAAAACAATGGAAAGGAATATGAATTAAGTTGAATTTTAAGAGTATTTCATTATATGAAAAAGAGAGAATTTAAGTAACAAATAAAAACATGATTATTACAAAAACAAATATTGTATTTGTTATAAATTCATAAACAAAAAAATGAAATTTCTTTTATTCGTATACTATAATGATAATACATATGATTGATAAAAACCAATTTTATGTCACTCAAGAGTTGAGTATAGAAAGAATTGAGACTTACTATTAAATAAAGTGAAATATATTGTAATGCAGATATATGACGAGAGTCAGTTTTATCATGATATATGAATTACATCATACCCTAATGGATTGACCAAATTAGATCAAATGACTCATTTATTGCTAACGACTTGTTTCTATTAGGCGTCGTAAATGTTTCATTGATGAAAACTTGATCGTCATCATTTTTTTATGATTTAATTCATTATAGAAGCTTTAGAAATCTTTTTATTTTAAATTTTATACCTTGAATATCGCATGGTTAAAGATGAATATATCTTACAATATGTATGTCTATCCATGACCAGTTTCAATATGATTTGTCTTATGTTTTCTAAATTAGTAGCTGTGGAACACAAATCATTTCGTATATCCTTCTTTTTCCTGATACGTTGAATTATATTTCAACCATTTTACTTTTTCAATTGATCGTTCGTGCAATGTTACTATTACTTATATTGAATAAATTTTGCACAGCTTATTCGAAAGTCACTTGCTTAAGAAACATGTTTCGTTTATCGATGTTCTAATTTTTGATTAAAAGCACAAGGTTTTGTTTGATGAAATTGGCTTGTAACAATGAGAAGTATTATTGTTTGTTAACTGTCGTCATTTCATGTAGAATTATTTGCAACTATTTCATTAATGTATTTATATCCTTGTATCCATATTCCCTTCTTGCTTCAAAAATATAATCGCCAGGCACTTGTCATTTATATATATATTATAACTAATACAACATACTATAAATCATCTTATAGAAGATTTGTAAATTCAGAAAATATTAAATCATGCAATCAATTAGTACAGTAGATATTACCTAATGTACATCGACTTAGTTGGAATACTTTTTATGATTCTATTTCGCATTTATACTAATTTACCAGATTATTTTTAGTAAACGGACATATAATCATTTTTTTTTAGTATGCAATAGTTTCTAATTCAAGTTGGAATATTGTTAATGCCTTCATTTGAAGTAAACTGATGCAAATTGTACAATGAAATTATCGTTACAAAAAAAACTAGTATAAAAAATACTGTCCCTTAAATTTACATACGATATTATTGTTATTTTTTCAATTGAGAAATATGACTTGTTTCGATTATAATGAGTATATATGAATTAATTAAATACTCACATACGCAATTCCGTAGTGCAATAATATGGAACTGAATCGAATAATTTCATAATTTTAATACCGATATTTTCAGTATGCATCCGAGAATATGTGATTCATAGTCTGACACGCCTTCTCATTGTGTACTATTTTGATGACATTTAAAATTGCGTCGATAAATCTTTCAAACAACGCACATGAAATAAGAATCTGCTGACAGTAGATTTTACACCGACGACATAGCAGTGTTATCTTTTTACGCATTTTGAAAAGGTATCATGTGTGATGTAAAGAAAAAACAACTATTGTTTTTCTTCTCTATGAGTGATGTACGTCTAGTAGATTCTTGAAAGTGTAATCTTTTTCACTTTTTCATATAGCGTAGGATCTATTAAGAAAAACATCGTAATATTTCTGTTTACTTGTTATTCAGTTAATCAGTAGTTTTATCTTTTTTGTTATGCCTTTCTCGATTATAAATAAGCGATGCACAACACAACATATTACATAAAATCAAAGCAACAAGAGTTTACACTTATATTTACTATATTACATTTATTTTAACAAAAAAAATTAACGATAATGTCAGCACCAACATCAGCCGATCGAAATCAAGAATCACCAGATAATACATTAGGTGCTCCTGGCGCAGAAGCTCAACAAAAAGCTGAACAACAAGCTGGATCGGACTCTGCAGCACAGCAATTAGGTGAAGATGGTAGTGGACAACGCCATTTATTAGGTGAAGATGGTAAAGGACGACGCCATTTATTAGGTCAAGACGGTCATGGACAACGTCGTTTAACAGGTGAAAGTGGTAGTGGACAACAACAAAATCAAGCCGGTGAAGGCGACAATGCAGCACAACAACAAAATCAATCTAATGATGCTGGCAATGCACAACAACAACAAAATCAATCCAATGAAGGTAATAATGAACAACAACAACAACAAAATAAAGCCAATGAAGGTGCTAACGAACAACAACAAAACCAATCCTAAATTGCTAGGATAAAATAACTTTCTTTTACATGAAAGCCATTGACATAAAATGTATATGTCATTTTTTTTTAATTTTTCTATTCAGTTTATTTTAATCTTTTCTTTTTTTTATATATGTGTGTGTATATTGAAATAAAATGCTTGTATTAAAATTTATTTCCTTCAGAAAAAAAAGAACAAGTGTCAATAACGTAACATAAACTATTTGATGATGAAGTTGGATATTTTTCTCCATAGATTGACATTGAGATACCATAGGTCGCTTTGAATAATCACATGAATAAACATTCAGAATGTCATAGGACAACGTTAAACATAGGTTATAAAAAGCTGCTGACTGGTTAACGAAATAGATGAAAGATATTACTTGTGCTTTAATATAAAAAAAGAAATTTCTATATATGAAGATCTTTCTTAGGAGAAATATATAGATATAATTCAAGTAGTATTATTGATAATATCTAATGACGAGGTATTTTGTATTATGTCGAAAATTATAATTTACGCATCTGTGTTAATTAAATAGCAAAATAATGATTCATATAGCCATTATCTACGAATCATTTAATTTGTCTTTTAACTCAACTTTTGTTTTCTATTGTTTTGTTTTTCTTAAAAATAATATTTGAAAAAAAATGATTAAAACTTAATTTTTTATAATATGAACTATATCGATCGTTTATAGAAAAAAGCAGAATGCTAAAAAAATAAACTTCTTAACTTTATATACGGAGCTATACGACTACCATACATTCATTTTAAGAATTATAACGATACAAGATTATTGTGACTGATATAACTAAAAAAGAAAACGACATCGTTAGTATAAATTTAGTTATTATTTTTCACTCACTAGGATGTATGTAACAGCCAACTTGAATGTTACAATCTCGCTTGATATAAGATTATGATTGATGATAGACCTAAACGTATAGTAACATATATCAAATAGAGATAGAATTATACTATGTAAAAATATCTTAATAGAACAAAAATGTTAAAGCATTGAAACACATCATATAGACATAAAATAAAATAATTTCATAGGATGAATTCAACGAACAGTGTGTTTTTTTGCATTTCATTACATTTTATCTTGTATCATTCACGTGGCTATGCTTACAAATAGTAAATATATTGTTTAATTTCATTGCGTTTATTTTCTCTGTAAGTGAATACAAGTAAATATATTTATCGAGCGGTGAATATTTCAATTTTTTTGATCTATTTTATTTATTTTGGTGCATTTAGTGTTAGATATCTATGTCTTCGTTTGATAGTGAAAGTGCGTAGAATGCATATTAACAAGTATAAATTTTTATTGTAAAACGTGAAAATACGATCGTTTACGGTTGTACACACTTCGTATTCAGTCATAAACTACGTCTTAACTCGATTTATAACTTGATATCATTTAAAGTAAAATGATTCAATGCTTATAATATTCTTTTTAATCATATTCCCAGCTAGTATAAAAATAGTAAAGAAAAATCAATACAGACATGTTTTTTTATAAACTGAAAGGTCGATTAAATCAGTCGATATATTTTTCTAGTGTTATTTATTTTTTTTATACTATTGAGAATAATATTATCAATGAATGCAAATTCATTTTTATTTTATGCGGTTTCTTTCTTTCCTTATCCACTCAGATAATAGAATAATAATAAAAAGTGAAAAATAAAATCGATAAATCAAACTTCATTTCGATTTTATTTTGATTTTTGATTCTATTTTTTTATCATTATTTTCTGACAAAATATATATGACGAAGAATAAAACAATTTCGTATGAGTTGATATTTATCAATGATAATAATTGATAAAGAAACTAAAGGTATTTTTATTCAATTAGAATGTTCTAGTAAATATATGAGGAGGTTGAAAGAAAAATAAAAGAAACTGATACTGTTATATCAGTGACAAAGCATAAAAGAGCGATATCTCTCGATTATTTTTAATAGTAACGTTATTCTTTCTACACGATTAGTGCATGCAGATAAGACAATTTTATTTTATCGTCGTTCTTTTGACTACGCCCTTTCGCCATATTAACCACATACACGATTGTTACTGGTTTTAAAGATTGTGATGTACATATTTATATATAATTATTTTGTTTCGTGCAATGTAAGAACGAAAAAAAGGTTACAATATTTATTTTAAGATTTTTTCTCCCTTAAACAAAGTTATTTTTTGCTGAAAATTTCGAGATTGTAATAAATATATAGAAAGATAGTTCGTCTTCAGTACTTTAAGACATGATACCATTTCTTTGTCTCTTAAAAATTCTCGATAACTTCTATAACCAATTGTTAGAAAAATAGGTTTTGTTTTCGATAAAACAATAAATATTTTTCGCTTTTTCTCAGTTTATACTTTTTCAATCGTACGTCCTCAAGTTTGTGCAGACACAAACTCGTTTCGTATATAAAAATTATTTTTGTTGCTTCAGAAATTAGGTCAAGGTGTAGTAATATATGACAAGGTCCTTTTTTTTAATGAAGTATTGTTTTTCTTATACACATGTTTTATAAAACATTTTTGAATTATCGAACCCGTGATCCTTTTACAGCGTTAGAAAAAGATAAATATCTAAAAACAAGTCTGTAACATGCACTACATACCAACATACTTTTTCCAATAAACAAAAATAATTTCAATATATCAGATGTGTCTGCACTGAGAAATTTAGATTGCCGAGTGACCTATTTCTCACCCTTCTTTGATGAATATATATCGATTACACGTGAGACTTAGGACTAAAACTTTTACTATAGTCTCGACATATCTTGATGCGAAAATAGATTTTTCAGGGCAGAAATATTGAATAAGCTACTAGAATTAGAAATACGCATATAATCTTTTATTTAAGTACATTCATAGTAGAATTTAAAATAAATAGCTTATCTAATTCTCTATAAAAGTTCTCATTTCACTAACATCAAAATCTTTTAAATTCATATTTTGATCCTATTTTACTCGAAATAAATTTTTTTTAACTTTTAGATTTCATATGAATTCCATGAAATAAAACGAATCGATATATTCCATGTCGGAAGATAATAGTAGTTATTGTAATTTCGAAACATATTCTCTTATATGGCTTGATGCTTCAATTAACTCAGGAGACAATATTGAAACTCAAGCAAAGTTTCGATCATTTATAAATCATTTACAAATATTCGAAAATCCTGATCAATGTGAACAACATATTCGATCAGTTTTATCACAAGATCGAATTGTTTTTGTTGTTAGTGGTAGTTTAGGTATACATCTTGTGCCCAAAATTCATTCTCTTCAACAAATTTTTTCAATTTATATTTATTGTGCAAATCTACCATTTCATCGTCAATGGGCTCAACATTATATTAAAGTAATTCATATTTTTATACCATTCTATCATATTTATTCATCAAAGGAAATAATTAGGATAAACTAACATAGAATTAAGAGAATAAAAATTGTTATAGATGTTTAATTTTATTTTAGGTAAAAAGTGTTTGTGATCAATTCAATGATTTGATTAATCGAATTCAATGTGATCATTCTGATCGAAGACAAAATAAATCTGATGAACCATTATCAATGAGTATATTCGATAAAGATAATGATTATGAACAATCAACAACAGGTCTTGATGGTCGATTTCTTCAAACCCAATTATTAATTACTTGTCTGATTAAAATGAAAACGACTTTAACAGATAAAGATGAATTTATATTAAAATGTCGAGAAATTTATAAAGGTAATGATAAACAATTAATATTTATTGATGAATTTGAACGTGAATATGTCGATGAACATTCGTTATGGTGGTATAGTAGAGAAACATTTCTTTATCGTTTATTAAACAAAGCACTTCGTATTCAAAATATCGATTTTCTTTTTCTTTTTCGTTTTTTTATTCGTGATATTGAAAATCAACTTTATGAAAATCGTTATTTATCATCGACACGTGTCTATCGTGGTCAATTAATATCATTGGATGAATTAAATATATTAAAACGATCACAAAATAAATTAATATCAGTCAATTCATTTCTTTCAACAAGTTTAAATCGTCAAACAGCTCTTTTCTTTCTTGGTTCATTTCCTTATAATGATACATATGAAAGAGTTTTATTTGAAATCGATGCTGATCCTCGTAAAGATGGTGTTAAACCATTTGCTGATCTTTCAAAATTTAATTGTTTTCCTGAAGAAGAATTTTTAATGACAATTGGATCAGTTTTTTATTTAAAAAATATTTATCTTGGTGAAAATCGTATATGGCATATTGAAATGGAATTATGCGGTAATATTGATGGTGATTTACATAATACATTTCATCATTTACAAAATCAATATAGTCTGAATAGTCGAGGATTACTTGAATTTGGAAATCTTCTTATTGATATGGCTTATTTTGATCATGCTGAAAAATATTTTCATCGTTTATTACAACAATTAACTCCTCAACATAAAAATATTTATAAATGTTATCATGGTCTTGCTAAAATATGTTGTGAAAAAGGAAATTATGATTTAAGCATCGATTATCTTAATAAATCTTTTGCAAGTTTAAAAAATTTAAAATTAAATGATTCTCGAACTGGATATATTTATAATAGTATGGGTGAAGCTCAACAAAAAAAAGGTGATATCAATCAAGCATTACAATCGTACGAAAAAGCATTAGAAATTTTTAAAAAAACATTCAAAGATGATGACGAAAATATAGCATGGTGTTACAATAATTTAGGGATTATTTATCAGGATAAAAAACAATATAAGGAAGCTCGTGAATATCTTAATAAAGCATTAACAATTAAATCAAAACGTCTTCCACCTAAACATCCTTGTTTAGCTAATACATATAATAATCTTGGTAATATTCATTATTATCTTCATGAATATGATGAAGCATTGGAAATGTATCAGTCATCCTATGAAATCTTAAGTAAAAGTATGACACCAGGTCATCCTTCAATAGCCAGATTACTGATGAATTTAGGTATTATTTATGAAACTACACAAAATTTTAGTGAAGCAAAAATGAATTATGAAAAAGCACATTTTATTCGTACGAAAATTTTATCTTCATCACATCCTGATCTAATTCATACTAAAAATGATATTATTCGTCTATCATTAATACAATAAAAAAATTCCTGTGATTATAATCTATTTTGTTCAAACTTTCGAAGTTTTATGTTGATTATTGGATTTTAACAATAATTATAAACTTCATATTTCCGTATTATACTGTTTTTTTCAAACATAGATTATTTTTGTATATACATTGTTTTTGTTTTTGATTATCTTTTCTTGTCAACTACTTTTTTTTTTAATAAGTGGTTTTTCTTTTCTATTTAGTCGTTGTTTATGAGAAAGTGCAATAAGATCATATTGTATAATAAATAGATTATTATTCAGATTATATTATTTTATTATCTAATGATTCATATCCGATCTTTTCACAATTACAATGATGAATTGATAAATATGTATTATTTTATTATTACGAAATAAATTTTTCATGATAAAAAACAAATCGTCTATTTTCCTTGAGGAAATTGTGGTGTAGTTGTAGCTTTAGCGCATCTATGAGTACATCCACAAGATGGTTTACAACATTTTTCATCAGTAGCACATTCACTATCTTTTGTGCAACCATCTTCTTGTCTTGGAACCATTGTAAGGAGAGAAGTAGGTGGACAATAAATATTGCAGATCATTCCATGCATTGGACAATTACCTATTAAAAAAATAATTTTTCATGCTTTATAAAATGAATAAAAAATTACCACGATGAACTTGTACAAGTTGTGGTGCGACAAGTTCTGGTGCTACAAGTGCTCCAGCACTAAAACATGCGAGTACAGCAAGTATTAGAATAGCAAAAAAACGCATTGTTGGATAGATGTGTTTTACAATAATATTTGAATATCAATAGCATTGATAATTTATATGCAATTAAAACTTCATTCACATCTGTGTTTTTTCCCTTGGTTCCTATATCGAATAGACAAATCAAATTATATATTTTTATTTATTTCAAGTTTCAACTGTGATAATCGATTACTAATAATAGAATCTTTTGTATTGTTTATCGAGTTGATTAGCCTCCTACGAGTTAAAGTACCAGACTGATAAAACTTAAAATATGGCGTGTTTATAATGAGTCTAAACGAAGATTTTTGGTTTTATTTCATATGAAAACAAATGGTTGTTTAGAAATGGAGATCAAGCTTTTAAATCAAGTGATAAAAGCAAAGGTTTCTTTTGCTTCATGTACATATTATGAGCGTTTGATCTTTGAAATTAATAATTGAATAGCAACGAGGATAAAATTAACAGTAATTATCTTTGAATTCCTCAATTTTTAAAAGTAGTTTCTTCACAATTTAATTACAAGAAAACAAATTTTAGTCCAATTTCGAACTAGCTACACCGTATATCTATATGAATGCGTACATGTGTCATTTTCCAGTATGATGGTACTCGTACAGTTACTGACAACAATAAATTTATTAGTCCAAAATTTTAATCCGAATGGGGTCAAAAAGACTCGATAAATAATGTAAAAGGCGCCATTTCAAGGGAAAAATAACATATTTTCATTTTATCGATTTAGTTAAAAACATTTTGATATGCTTCTACAATATGAAAACAAATGTTTTTTATTTTCACGCAATAAAATATTTTATCTACTTATATTAAAATTTGCCTTATGATGTATACTAAAAATATAATTTATATTAACTTGTTATAATTCAGATAACGAGAAAAATTTTAATTAAAAATATCAGAATATACGAATTCTAAGTTTCTTCATTTCAGAGTGTGAATAAGATTAAAGGAGATTTTTATTTTAAAATAGTATAAAAAATACTTGACAATAGATATATTTGTTATTTTTACGAATAAATTTATCTATAAAAATCAATATTGTTTGTTATTATATAAGATGTATTTCTCTTTAAGGTTTTCTCAATAGAATATTAAATATAATAACAATGATATTGATCTATTGAAGAAATTTCCAGCATATCAGATTCTCTCAATGGTATCATTAAAAACTAATAAAAATTGAGTTTATACCTTCATAGAAAAAAAACATTCTAGCAGTATATTTAAAAATGTACTTAATCAGGTACTCAGTCATCCTCGATTTTCTGATTATAATGAAAACTTATAAATGTAAGATATAAAATCATAAAATTGGGAAAAAACAAAGTCATATTCGATATTTTTTTATGATTTTCTACATGAAATTAAAGCATTCAAAGGATTTTTATCATAACAAATAACATCATACACATTCAGAATATTAGAGCTAGTCTTTTTTATTAATTAAAATGATAGAAACAAAAATATCATATTAAAAGCCTTATATTGTTTTCAGACAAGAAAGCCTTTTATAATCTAATTTTTCCCAGTATATATTAGAGACGAAAAACATTTTGTGAATGTTAAAACTCTTTTTTTGATTTTAACATATCAAAAGATGAACAATCAAACAAATTCAAATGATTCAGTTGTATCAGATGGTATATGTATTATAACTCAAACTCAACGTAGTATTACAATGCCAATATTAATTCTCTTTGCTTTTCCAGCATTAATTTGTTTTCTCTTTATATTTTATCATTTTTTCAAATTACGTAAACGATTAATATATGATTCTGTTAATCATCATGTTATTTTATTTATATTAATTTTGGATTTTTTATTAATTTTAAGTGAATTACCAATAACATTATATTATCTTGCATTAGGAAATGTTCAAACAAAAAAAATCTGTATTTTTTGGATTTATTGGGATTATTCACTTGAAACAAGTTCATTATTTTTAACAATGTATGCTGCAATTGAACGATATTTTTTAGTATTTCATAAACATCATATTCTTAAACATAAATATTTATTTCATTATATTCCAATGTTTATTATTGGTTTTTATATTCCTATAATATATTTCTATTTAATTATATTATCACCATGTGCAATGGATCATTCATATGATATAACTTCATTTGTTTGTGGTGGTGCATGTTTTTTCTCGTATGTTGCTGTTAATACTTATGATACAATAGTTGATACATTAGTACCATGTCTTATTTTACTTATTTTTAATTTATTAATTATTTTACGTGTAATTATAGCGAGAGGAAGAGTATTTGCAACACAATCATTAATAGATTTATTGAAAAAAAATCGACGAATGATTTTACAATTATTTGGAATAAGTTTTATGTGTTTATTATCATGGATGCCATGGGTTGTTATTATAATTGTACAAAATTTTTTTATTCCAACATTTGGTAATTGGTTTATTACTTATATACTTCATTATTTACCATATATAACAGCATCGACATCACCATTTCTAGCATTGATTGGTTTACCAGAAATTAGAAAACATTTAAATATATCAAAATATCAAACAAAAACTTCAACAGCAGCAACTTATTCAACTACAGCACCACCAATGCCATCAGAAATTCCAGAGAAAAATAATTTCGATTGAAACATTCAGTTTTAAATTCAAATATTTTCAATCAAAATCTAAGAAAACAATTAAATGACAATATTCTTTCTTTACATTGTAGATTTTGTTTTGATGCTTTCTAAAAATTTAATAAATTATTTTTGTATTTCATATAACATTTGGAAAAAATAAGTATTTATTCATGATTTACATACAAAATATATCTGTTCATATAATGATTTAAATAATAACTAGAAAAAATTTATTTAAGATTACGATAATGTGTTCGTTGTTTAATAGAAAGATGCTCAACTGCATAACTAAGCATAATACGTGGCATTTTCGCAGCATGTCGATCAAGAAATGATGTGAGAACTTTTTTATTAATTCGTTTTCCTGTTTCACGTAACATCCATCCAACGGCTTTATGCATTAAAGGTTCAGTATCATTCAGAAGTTTTTCAGCAAGTTCAAAAGTTGTTGATCTATCTTTTCGTTTAATAAAAGTAAATGTAGCAATAATAGCTGCTCGTCTTTCCCATAATTGAGAACTTGAAGCAAGATCAAATAATAATTGCCGAGATTTATCTTCAAGATATGCACCTAATAAATGTTCAGCTGATGAATCAATTAAATCCCAATTATTTACTCGACCACGTTTAAGAGCTTGAACATAGAAAGATGATAATTCACCACGAAGTTTATCATCACGTGTTGATGGTCGACTGGCAGCAACAAATTGATTGATAAGAATAAAGAGTGCAGCTTGACGATGTTCATGAATGGGACTATTTAAAAGACGATCAATTTCGACAAGTGGAAGTGTAGAAAAACGTTTAGCCACAATTCGATTAGCAGGTGTACGAACACCCATGAATATATCACCTTCACCATATTCACCTTTACCGGTTTTAAAAAAACGTTGACTACTTAGAATGGTTTTTGGATTAGCTTGTTCGGCAAGAGCAGCTTGTACTGCTTCAGCAGTTTCATCCGTCATCTAAAATAAATTTAATCAATAAAAATTCATTTTTTCTTTCTTTTAATATAAACGTACATTTTGTATATGGAATGATTTTCGAAGAAGTAAAATGAAATGTTGTCGAATCAAATTTTGAGTACTAGATTTTAATAAGAAGATATGAGATTGAAGCATACAATTTTTTTATCACAAAAATAATTCTTTCTATAAAAGAATTAAAAGGTTTTTTTTTAGAAAAAAATAAGATTCATATTTGGATATAATAATTGTATTTCTATTTATAAACATCTTACAAAAGACTCGAAATTTTTATTATTCAACATATAATGAAGAGCAGGAATTAGTTTTCGTAATATACAGTAATATTAGGCAACTGGTTCTATGGAGAAAAATATTTAAAGTACTTAATATTCTTTTGCCGTTTCTTAATATATACTGGTGATATTGCACAATATTATCGTAATAAATTAGAATAAATAATAGTTATATTTTTTGAGACTAATCGAAGAGATTACAATAATTTTATCGTGTTATTAAATATTATTTTGTAATAATTGTTATATTTTATTAGAAAAAAATTCTTCTAATATACAATTTCTATTCACATTTGTTCATATTTTAACCAATATGAATATGATTCTATATTAAAACTTGTTATACCTTTTAAATATAATTCAATCTTCGTCATTTGTTTTTCATAAAGTATTTTTAACTGAATAATATTATTATTAATCAATATAAAAGTAATCTAATATATAATTAGAAAATCTAGATGTCGTCAGTTATAGTCTATATGTTTATAAATAATTATAGACTTGTTTTTTGATAACACTTTGAATGCTTGAATGAGTAAATTAATTAGTTGATTTAATGATAAATTCAATGCCTTATTAACATCAACATTAACTTGTTTACAATATTACAAATTTGTATCTCGACATTTTCCGGTTTTAAAATGGCAGTAGGTGTTAGTTTACGGTTGAATACTTTCTTATTTGATCGTTTATAGCGCAAATATATATATATATATATTCTTCATACTTTTTATAAAATACTCTCAATCAAAGTAACAAAAATAAAGAACAAATTTCAGGTCATAACTCTTAAATTACTCTATAACTATGTTTACAAGAGATCTTACTCGAATATCTCGTGTAATGAGTTATAATATCCGAATGGATACACCTGCAGATGGTGAGAATCAATGGGTTCGTCGTCGAGATCGTGTATTTCGTCTTATACAATATTATCAACCAGATCTAATTGGTATTCAAGAAGCATTACCTCATCAAATTGGTGATTTAGTTTCTGCATTTCCTATTTATGGTTGGTATGGTGTTGGTCGTGATGATGGTAAACGGCAAGGAGAATTTTCAGCTATATTATATCGTCTAGATATTTTTGAACGACAAAATCAGGGTACATTCTGGTTATCGAAAACACCAGATGTACCTGGTAGTAAAGGTTGGGATGCAGCTTTACCACGAATATGTAGTTGGGTACTACTTCATGATCGACGAACAAATCAAAAAGTATGTCATTTTAATACACATTTAGATCATGTAGGTAAGACTGCTCGTCGAGAAGGTGCACGTCTTATTGCATCTCGTATACATCAAATAGCTGGATCAAAAATACCTACCGTATTAACAGGTGATTTTAATGCAGGTCCTGAATCGGATGCATATCGAACTATTGTAACACATAGTCCTTTACGTGATGCTAAACTTATAACTAAAGCACCTCATGATGGTCCACAAGGTACTTGGTCAACTTTTAATGCGCGTAATACAATAGGTGGACGATTAGATTATATTTTTGTTTCTCCACAACATTTTCAAGTATTACATCATTCACATTCAACTTATACCGAAAATCAAAAATATCCATCTGATCATTTACCAGTATTAGCAAATATAATGCTTCAACCTCCAAAACATCATTTGGCTATAAAACATAAACCACATCCAAAACATAAACATATGGCACCATAATATATATTCATGAACATGACATTTTGTATATTGTACTATATTAATATCTATAAATTACTAAAGACATTAAACTCAATTATTAATAAATAAATAAAATAAAAAGGAATTATTTAATTTCGTATAAAACCATACGATACACATAATTTTATTCAAATAATTATTGCAGATAACTTCTAGTTTTATAATTTTTTTCAATCTTATTTATATTGAATTTAAAAAATTTCATTGTTTATTTGTTCGTAGCCAACGTTGAATGCAATTCAATATTTCTAGGATACTTTTTTTTCGATGAGTTAGAATCTTTTATGATCTATTATAAAAATATTTATTCATTCAGCAATACTGTTGAAAAGTGACTGAAGAATGTGATATATCAAGATCGATCCCATAACTTTCTTAAGATTTCAGGACTGAATAAGACGAATTATTTCATCATTTATTTAATCGTCAACAATCAGACACTGCTGGAAAGTTTAAGAGAAATATTAGGTGACTGAACGGAATTGATCACACCTAACCTAATTTCTCATGTATTTTTAATACGATATTTTTGAATTCCTGTTTTTCACTTACTTCCAGACAGTCCCGGTTAGAAATTACTCTACAGTTACTGGTACTCCGATGTGACACGATTGCAAGTTATCCTCACAGAAACTTGTGTTAATAATCGCGAGTCCCAATCAAGATCCTTTCTAAAGCTCTTGTTAAGACTGCCGTTCTTAGACTAGTACCAATGTTCCTCAGAAGCTTCGAATTTTTAATAAATGTATGAGCAAACGATGGTTGTAGTTTTTTCAAAATAAGTTGAATATGAATTTTATTTTAAATGACTGTTTCTATTATTATCACTGACAACCGACTTATTCTCTTGATTTAAATTTACTGACGTTTATTTATCAAATAGATCGTATTTTCCTATTTACATTCAACAGTATCGTGACGAATGTTGTTCGTAAACACTTCTATCTATTGAATTCAATATTTTTCGTTCCACTATATATCAAAGAAAACAAAATATGTTTATATATATAATTATACAAATAGAAATTGTTTATTGAAAATAGTCAAGTGTGAAATATGTTTGCTTGATATCTGTAAATATAAAATTTACAAAACGCCTGTTAAATAATTTGATAAATATAGATTTGTTAGCTATAATTATTCTTGTATCAGAGATCGTAAAAATACATATATATCTATTAGTAAAAAATCTTTTTTTATTTTGCCTGAATGATTTATTGTGTATAGTTATAAGATGAATTCCTTCACCCCATCATTTATATATATATAATTATAAAGTTGTTTGGTTTTATTTATTGATTTGTATGAGAGCATTACTACTCTCATAGTTGTACTTGTATTATAATTGATAAGTATTAATGAGAAATTTGAACATCGTTCATGAATTACGAATGATTTACAGATAAAGTATGAAAGAAATATATTGACAATGAAAGAAGAAGTGATCTCAGGTAGAATACAAAAGTATATTATATTATTAACCGTGGTAAAACAATCAAATAGTAGTGAATATATCTCGTTAAATTCTATGGTTTTAATGGACTATTGATAGCACAACACTCCTGTTATTTGCACTGTTTTTAGTTTATTCATTAGAAAAATATTACCAAGAATCATATCTAATTATCAATCAATAAATTTTCATCTATAAAATTTGAAAAAAAACAAGAAAAGAGAGAGAAAGAACATACCGATAATACCTATACTATGATTCATCTTACGATACATTGTAAATACGTACCATAAAACCTTCCATAAGCTGTTCAAACGATTTTCGATTCTTTATAGTTGAATATGCTCAATAAAAGTTCTTTTTTGAATGAGAGAGAATTTATAAATGAAATAAAGCCAATTGTATTATTTATTTTTATACAAATATCTTTTACTGAAAATCAATAATGAAATTCATCAGATGTTATCCATCATATTTTAGTTATAAACATAGAAGAATTTCATAAAATTTTTATATATGGAATATGCTTTTGAATTCTTCAATTGAAGAACATTGTAAAGAAAGTATTATAAGAAACTCAAGTCCTCTCTATTTACACATAATATTACTTGGAATAATATTCTATTAATATTCTAATCGATACATATTATCGATTGACTGTAAGACCGTCGAAAGAAAAAATTCGGTGCAAAAAAGATCGAAAAAGAAATATCGAAGTCAGTGTTTTATCCAGCTTTTTTCGTCCGAGTACGCGAAATTAACTGCGGGGAGGGCAAAAATCTCTCTTCTGGGGGGGGGGGGGGGGCAAACGTGGAGTTTCAGACTCAAAAAGAGTCATTTTTCTGAATTCTGGAGGGGAAGGTAGGGGCAGCCTTCGAGAGGGCAAAAGCCCCGTGTTCCCCCGCTGGATAAATCACTGATCGAAGTCATTTTGGTCGAAAATTTCCGGATGCCATCATCAAACTATTGATCATCGTGTCTTAATATTATTCATTAAACTTTCACTGATTAGTAAGTCATTTGATCTAATAAATTATTGTATAAGCAAATGTACTAAAACAACGAGAAACTGAGATAACAAGAATGTGAGTGTGGTGCTGTATTCTTCTGCTATCTATACCCACACCCACACCCTCAAGACTGTCTTGAATATATTATAATTATATAAGAATAATCTCGTTCTTTTTAGTTATTATACAGCACAGTGTTTTTTTTAACTACAGTAATTTTTGTTCTTAATCTCTTATCTCAGGAATTTCATTAACACTGTATGTCACGTTTCAACTTCATATTCTATTTTTTTTCCTCTCTTGTTCTACAATACAGAAATTTTGTATTTTTTTCGTTTATTGATATGCTCTTATGCGTAAATGGATTATTCCTGAATATGAAGGCCTATTATTTTGAAGATACTACCATCATGCTAGTGGTAAATATATTTCTCCAATTTATGTAGAAAATGATGAAGTTCTATATATTGCGTCTTGTACTTTTTTAATCAATAAATGTATTGTGTAATAGAAAGAGAAAAATAATTTATGTATTTTTCAGTCGAAAAAGCATTGAATTAAAGAGAAACTCGAAGAAATTTCGTATTTAGCTAATTATCTGGAAAAAAAACCTTGAATAAAAATTGTTTAGTAATTTAAATATTTTAAATGAATTATTGACTGTCTGACAACGAATAAAAATATTATTTATAATGTATATTTATTATAAATAATTAGATATACTTGATTAATTCTTTGAGTCCCGGCTTTTTTTTCGCAAAATTTTCGAATTTTTAATAAGAAACTATACCCATGTAAAAAAGTTGTGAAAATCATGATTTTTATGAGAAATCCAATGAGAAATCGATTTAAATGGCACGGTTTTCATAGCTTGTTAATCGATTAAATTGAAAAAATTAATTAAAATCGATTAAACTGTTGTATGAGCTCGATTGAAATCGATTGAGTTGTAAATAATCGATTAAAATCCAATGATATTTAATTTTTCGTAAAAAAATAATTGATTTTAATCAATTTTATACGACAATTTAATCGATTTTAACTGATTATTTGAACTTAATAGATATTCAAGCTATGAAAATCGTGACATTTGAATCGATTTCTTATCGGATTTCTCATAAAAATCATGATTCTCACAACTTTTTTTACATGGGCGGTGTAATATCGGTTAATAAACAATAAAAAGATGTTCTCAAACAATTAAAGAATATACTACAGGCGTCTTTACCAAATAACAGCATCAGGGCGTATATATACGTCGCAGAGATGAAAGAGTTAATTAAAGTAATTACAAATACAATTAATTGACTAAAAATATAAACTATATAAATAGATTCTATAGTTCTTTTAGTGATTATATTTTTTAAAAAAATTTATTGATAAATGGCTAATATACGTTTACGTTCAATTATAATAAAACTACAAGATTGTCTTAGTAATGATGATCGAGAACGTTTACATTTTTTACTTGGAGACGATGTACCAAGACGACTTCAAGACAATACCACATTAAGTGGAACTCTTAGTATTATGCAATCACTTTTTGATCGAAATAAGATTAGTGAACAAGATTTTACCTTTTTAATTAATGTATTCGAAGAAATTCCATGTCCTCATGCTGTCAACTTACTTGCAGGTATACGTTTATCCTTCAATTCTTATACAATATGCTTGAAAAAAAGAATAAACCAAGAATCTCTAGAAAGGGAAAAAAACAAACACTTTTTTATTTTTTTTATTTTAAACATATACTACCACTGGGAAGGAATGCCATTCTCGTGGAAGACGTCCCATCTAAACAATTTTTTTGCTGGAGCCCTGACAAGTTCTGCGATGTATGCATGTGTAACAGTAGCTTATATTTATTTCCCATACATTCTTTCACCCTCATTAATAGATCTATTTTTAGTAACAACATATTTCGTTTTTCGTCATTGAATTATTGTCTGGTTATAAATAACTGCAAATATTATTGATTCATATGGATCAATCTAACTTTCTCAGATTCACTTTTAGCGAATAATATTTTTAACAATTTACATTATTTTGCTAATATCTAAATATAGAATACAAACAACGTATACAAACAAAGTTGCCAAATCAACCACCAGAAATGCCACCATTACATGATGAAGTATTCGAAGACCAGGAAGATAAAAGTGTATCACGAACTCGTAAGTTAATTCTAAGTAGTCATTCGAAATTTATTTCCATTCTATTATATATATAGTTTTACAACAGACGAATAATTGTTGTAACTATCAAAAAAATATCAATAGCAATAATACAAATATTAATCCAGTAATATCTAATGTTCAAAATAAAAATAGTTTATCTTCAAAATGTAAAGAAATTCAATCATATCTTTATAATTTTCGAATAAATAAACATTCACTAACTATTATTATTTTACTAATTCTTATATTTGGAACAATAATATTAATTTATATTATTAAAATGACTGATCATAATAAATCAAATTCAAAATTAAAATACGATTATGTTTTAGAAGAACAACAAAAGAAAAATAACAAAACAATTCAATTATTAAATGAACCTATATTAGAAAAAAATCAACAAGCCAATGATCAATTGACACTACCAAACAAAAAGAAATGTAAGATAAGAAATATTATTTAGTAGTTAAAATTCTTATTAAATTATTTTAGATAATTCATTAGTTATTGAAGGCCGAGAATTTGGTAGTGCACATGGTACTCATTTCGATGATTCTACACATCCGTATTTTATAAGTTCACATTATCTAAATGGAATACTTGCTCGTGATAATGATGATGATTTAGAATCCTATCAATTTTATTATTCATCTTCGTGTGATAGTCAAGACATGATCACATCAGAGAGGCATGGAAACCAAAATTTATCTTTTAAAAAAGATTTTCAATTTGACAAAAATGAAAAAATACAAAAAGTTGAAGGACATTATTTGAATAAAACCATTGTTTTTTCAAATGGTACAAATTTAACAATGCCAATAATAACAGGACTTCAATTTTACACAACAAAAGGTCATGCTAGTCCATCATATGCTGGTGAAGAAGGAGTAATGTTTGAGGAAGAATATGAGGGCTATACATTATGGTATGTTACTGGAAGATCAGATGAATATATTCATCAACTACAATTCTATTGGTATCGAACATTAGACATTGATTAGAATTATTATATTCATATATATATGATTTTGAATACATCTATTGTATTATATATATTTATATAATTATTTATATTTTATTTTCAAAAAATACAAAATAATAAAACGATGCAATAACCCCTCCCCCCCCCCCGTAATAAAAGACCCGGGCCCTTCTATCATGGTTCCAGAACTTGCAATTTTTTTTTTTGAAAAAAACACCCTAGGGGGGTACGGCGATTTTCCTCGATTTTTGCTCAAAGGGAGCCTACTATTTCGGGGGGACCTTTTAATACGGGAGGGCCTTCTATTTTGGGAGGGGGAGTTTATTAAACACAATTGATTTATACTAAGAACAAATCAAGATAGAATTGATTTTATCTTATAATATGTTTGAAATTAAATTTCAACAGATCCAATATTTAAATTATTAATATGTGATAAACAATCTTAAATTAATAATGATTTTTTTGAGTCTTTACTTTACTCAAAAAGTACTTGCAATTCAAATTCCAGTATCAATATGAAACAATTGAATAGATGTTCGATTAGTTTGAATATTTGGTCTACGAATGATTACAATAATTTAACTTATTTAATATATAGTTCATTTCCATACATAAATGATCTATAAGAACAGCATAAGAATTGAATCAGATAGAGAAAAATAGTGCGCAGGATCATTTACTTTGATAATAAAATAAATATGTGCAATGATTTGTTTAAATCTTATTTTTCTTTTGTAATTATTCGAACATGCTTATATTTGTTTTCTTTTACATATATTGAAACTAGTAAGTATATGATTGTATTGTCTTTAGATTTTGATACTATATTTAAATTCAGAACAGACTATAAGTATTATATTATTAGAAGTCGATTTCATTTTTTGATTGTTCGATAAAATAATGTAATAAATTTGTTAGTCTATTAATTTAGATAAACGGATAAAAATATATAATTTATATTTCTCTAAAGAAAATGAAATAGCAGTGATACGTATAGTAAAAAAGAAAACACTATGTGTTGTTTATCTAAGAGTAAATGATATGAGATCTCTTCTATCATTAAATGCGATACAAAGTTAATAGAACATTTTTCGAATGCTTATTACATAATTCGTATACCAAAAATTATCGGTCAAAAAAAGGAAATTGAATAAACGACTAATTTCATATATGTGTACTATATGATAAAATATGCAACTTTTTGAACACGTAGAGAGTATAAAAAAATATTTTATACAGATAGATATTAAGAAAAAAAGATTAATTTGAATTAATCGAATGTATAACAATATACAACATCATTTTTCTATAATGATTCTAATAGACTAAGATCAAAAATAGCTCTCAGCATCATACGATGATGCACTATTTTTGAAATCTTCATTCTGTTATCTGACAGTTTCTTCATTATGGCATATTCATTCGTAATTATTTGTTAGTTTGAAGAACAGAAAAATGTTTTTCAAATTAATATAATGAAATTTTATAAATATATTTGCTTATAATCCTATTACAAGATTACATGTCATCATTTGTCTGATAGGTTTTTGTTTATCTTATCATAACATGTAACTAGAAAAGCTTGGAAAATGTGTAATTAATATTTTCTAAAGAATATATCTAAGAATTATATTAAAATATCATCGAAACTGGGTACTTCTCATTTCAAAATAAAAGGTGGATGGGTGAATAAATTTCAATAGAAATAAGATGAAGAGCTGTGCTTTTCACTGTTCCAAAGTGGTGATGAAGAGTTCCTTAATTACTTTCCTGATACTTGTAGTCCGATATTTTTAAGAAATGACTTTTTTCGCATACGTTAAAAACTCGCTTTTTCTGAGGAAAATGGGATGTGATGAACTTTTTTTTCACGAGTGAGATTTCATATTAACAATAGTTAGAAATTAAATATTTTGATAGTTTTGCATTGCTTTCTCTGACAGTTCTCGAATGCTCCCGGCTATCAAGAAGTTCGTATGATGTCGATGAGAGACATATTGTTTTTCTGATAGCTTTGTATAGCAGTCTTTAAAAATGTTAGAGAAATATTTCCAGATAAGCTTTAATGCGTCTTGTTCCTATGAAAATTTATTTAAAAAAATCCTTCCGCTTTTTATTTTCAAATCGACATGCGTACTCTTGAAAAGAAGTATTTATATTTTTAGTAATACACTAAATATAGTTTCTAATTAAAATATCTAAGAGTAATTTCATTAATGTTTATTAATATAAAGAATAGTATAGTTTACGTAAGTTTAGATATTTTTAGATTTATGATTAAATATTTTTTCTAAACGTATATTATAAATATATTCATTTATATTTGGTATTATGTAAGATTTATAGATAAAAGGATGTCAATTAATTATAGATGAAAAACGTTTTCTATTTATTTATTAATAAAAAAGAATTAATTTTGTTTTTGCATTGAAATTATTACTATTATGTTTAGTAATCAAATTAAACTTACTGGTTTTATTCTTAGTTTAATAACAGTTATTCATAGTACATTTACATGTTTTATTTCAATTGTTATTATTTTTATTATTATTTATGAATTATGTTATAAAAATTTGAAACGTGAAGAAAGAACAACACTTTTTCTTTGTGTTAATATTTATCTATTTCTCTTAATCTATATGATGATATTATCATTAATGAATATTCAAACAATATTAGGAGATTTATATGAAAGAGATTTTAATTCAACATTATGTATATTCATCGGATATTTATCTCCTGTTATTCTTTGTGTTTTATATCATTCTTTTGTCAATCAAGTATTAATATATTCTTTTTTTATAGAAGAAAAAAAATTCATTTAAAAATATATGTTTTTTTTAGGCTTTCTTTCGTCTATGTCGGATAGTATATTTTCGATATCGATGGCTTCAATTACATTGGTGGTATATAATTATACCTCTTCTACAATTAATTTTAGCTTTTGCTCTTCTTTCTCCTCTTCTTGTTTGGCATGATATTATTTATTTATTAGACGAACATTATTGTTATGCAGCATTTATGAATTTTCGTGGTATATTATGGACTGCATTTATTTCTTATGTCATACCTGCATCAATTGTATTTATAATATATATTCGTATTACAATATTTATTCGACAACAACCACATAATCAAACACAAGCAATACAAAGAAGACAAGCTCGAGATTTACTTGTTATTCGACGTATACTCATTACTGTTGGTCTATTAATTACTCTTGGATTTCCAAGTGTTGTTCTTGTTATAATGGGTGCTATAACTGGTGAAGAATATGTATTAAGTTTTCGTATAACATGGATTTCACTTAGCATATCTATGACTGGATTAAGTATAGCAATGGTACTTTTTATTCCGCAATTGAAGAGTATTGTCTGGAAAAAGTTTCAAAGAAATCGAATTACACCTGGTACTATTAATTTAGAAATTTCAATTCAAGTCAGACCAGATATTAGAAATCGTTGAAATAATTTCAAATGGTTATAAAATTATATTATAATTTCTTTTTAACAAAGTAAATTATTCACATGTATATATGCTCCACAATTGTTTCTTAGTTTTTTATGAACATAAAATTGATTTTTTTATTTATGAATTTATAACAGATACAATATATTATTTGTAGTAATTACCTCTTTGTTTGTTACTTAAATTCTCTCTTTTTCATATAATGAAATGCTCTTAAAAATCAACTTAATTCATATTCCTTTCCATTGTTTTAGAGAAATAACTTTCATGGTAATATTAAAACATACCGAACTTAGGATGATATATAGCTATATTTAAAACTATGTAGATAGATAGAACATGGAAATAGATTCATATACAGACATGCATGTGATTATACTCGACAATAAAACTTGAATATATATTTAAAACTCGTATAATTAACGATATCGACAGATTAATAATAAACAATTTTATATAAATTATTATAGAATCTGAATCTTTAGTTTTTATGTTTAGAGAAAACTTCTTTTTTTGTATTATATTTCATTATATTCATGATATATTACGAAGAAAAAAATGTTATTCATTTTTATCTTAAATATTTTGTTTGTTCTGTATATCACCTATGATTTTTAATCTATCTATGTGATTATTCTGTATATTTGTATGTCGATCGTTTCATCGTTTCTTTGAAACTATCTTTTACAAGTATTACTCCCTTTGTCATGGCATGATATATCACATGCTATAAAGAATGCTGATTCTCTTTCATTTCTTCACGTACTACTGATATCGTTGAATATTTAAGGAGTGAATATTATGAAGAGAAGGATGATTCTTATTTTATGAAAGAGGAGGAATGACATCCTCCATTGTTTCTTTTTATATGAAAAATAATCATTATAAAATTTAATATTCTATGTTTAAAAGACAACATTCTTATTGATATGTTCAAATTATAGTGGTAAGTATCTTTGCTATATGTATGTACAGGAAATTGAAATTAATGATCAAGTATTTTATATATCTATCTATATAGTGAGAATCAAAAGTGTAAGGCACCTTTTGTTATGTTCCAAATGATTTATTAATAATATTTCATCAATGAGTTCTATGATTAAAGCTCATAAAAAACTGGTAGTTAAATTTTTACTTTTTTAAAACCTTTACAGAAATTGTTTCTTGACAAAGATATCTTAAAGAGCACAAAAATCTGAGCAAAATGAAGTGTCACTTCGTTCTCTATGGTTTTATCTTAAAAAAATGAGACATCATCAAAAAATAAGAAACAATTTTCATTAAGTTTTTAAAAGTCTAAAAATTTGGCTGTCCATTTTTTCGAGACTTTAGTCATAGAACTCATTGATGACATATTGTACGATAGATTAACTTTTAATTGTCACTATAGACATATTATTAATTCTCAGTTTTGAATGAATGAATGAGTCACTTAACCTTATAGAAATTTGTTAAGCTTCCAATGATATTCTGAGAATATAAACTTTGAGTACTGCTAATAACATTTCAACTCTAAAGTTTTCGTTTATTACTAACAGAATAATTTCCAAGACGTTGAGTAAATTCAGTTATAATTCTTGATCGTGAACATCGTTTAATTAGAGAATATAAATAACATCAGTTTTTGACAGAAAAAAAAATAATAATAATTGAGAATATCAGATGTTCAAAAATGTTTTCAGTTTCAATTTAAAAGAAAAAAGAATTATGTCATGAGCTATTCGTTCCAAGTCTAGAAATTTTCTTTTTTAATTAAGATTAAATATGAGATGCATTTATTCTATAAACAAAATACATATATCACTTTTACCTTTGTCTCACATTTGTATACATTCAATCATTATAGGAAATATAAATATACTCTGTTAAATGGATTGCAGTTGCAGCGGATATAATTTAGCTATGGATGATAATTCTCATTTACGTCGAATTATTCTAACAATTGAAAATCGTCTGAGCAATGATGATCGGGAACGTTTACATTTTTTCTTTGGAGATGATATTCCAAGACGAATTCGAGATGATCCAACACTTCGTGGTACACTTAATCTAATGCAATCACTTTTTGATCGAGATATAATCAGTGGTAATGATTTCACTAAACTAATTACCGCATTTGAAGCAATTCAATGTTTTGATATAGTCAATATTTTAAAAAGTAGATTTTTCTGTTTTGTCAATTCATATTTCATTATACTCTAGTTGTTTAGAACATCAACAACAAATAGAGTTAACTCATGCACATCAATCAATGCATAGTTTAACATCTATAGTGCCACCTCTGTCATCTCTGGCAAAGGAAGTTATTGACGATCTAGATTCAGCACACCCAATCGGGAAAAGACGTGAGTAGATTTAATATGAATATTTGAAATCTATTTGATTTTATTGTTTAATATAGTTTCCATGTCTGAATCAGGTATCTATAATATAGTTCCCCTACCTGAACCAGAAAACTATAATATAGTTCCCATGCCTGAATCAGGTAACTATAATACAGTTCCCTTGCGTGAGCCAGGTAACTATATGAAGTTTAAAAAGATACATCCATCCAGTAATAATTATTCTAGATGATGAAGAAACACAATCTTTACATTCGGATAACCATGAACGATTTTTCACATCATCTAAACTAAAAATATATGTTGTGATCATAGTTTTATTAATATTATGTACCACTGGAATACTCATTACTGTTCCGTCGAAAGGTATTAAAATTAATAAATTAAATGAGGATATTAAAATGAAAGATGTTATTTTAAAAGAACAGGAACTAAAAAATAAATCAAGAGTATCCCGTCCCTCTTTTTTGGCCTTTTCTGAAACCCGAGAACAGCTAGACTGATCAAGCTGAAATTTTTATCACACATAAAGTACCTGAATTGATGAGGCAAGTGTTCTCGGAAAAAGTTTTTCTGAAGGATCTTCATGGTATTCCAGGAGATTTTATTGTGCCATCCTAAAACATTATTCGACTTTATCCAATTGACCTGAAAATTTCTTTTGTAGATAGCCAGGCATTTATCTCAGAAGTAGTTTTGAGCTTTTTCAAAAATCTCACTGTCTTTGTTCTAAGTGAAAAAGATACGTCAAAGTTTCTCGAAAATCAACACTTTTATCATGAGAATCAGATAAAACCCAGTCGATTTGTCAGAAGTGAAAATGGTCGATTCCACCTATAGCGAATATCCCGAAGTATGTATGGTAAAATTTTCAGCTTGATTGGATAATTTTAACGAGTGGTCTACCAGAGTGCAAGTTGACACATTGCCTGAGAAATAGTTTTGAAAAAAAAAATGAAAAAACATTTTTTACAGCGTATCTTTCGACAGAGAAGAATTGAAAATTGTTCTTCTTGACAGTCTCCTAAGTAATTCGAAGCGGTGAGTCTAATGACTTTATCGTCGGACTTTTAGAGATCTTTTGTATTGGTTTTCTTTAACTAAACTGTATCTCCTCTTTTCTTCTCTTGCCTTCTTCTCATTTTCTTCATTCTCTCTTTTCTTCCTGATGTTACTCTCTCTGTCCTGTTTGTTCTTCTTTTCTTCTGAAAAGCACCGAATATTCTGTTTTTCATTTATGCTGGAATATAATAGTCAAGTATAAAAATTGTTGAATACTTTTGAAACTTTTGAACGCGTGATTTTTTGTATCTCATTAAAAAGAGCATCTATTTCCTCCATTTTTTCCTGATTGAGAATACTTTAGATATATGAAGTCTATGCTAGCATCATATTTTGATGCAGCTGAGAAATGGAGTATAGTAAACATGTATAGATTCATTTATTTTCACTCGCGCAATAATTATCATTCTCAACGAAATGAAAAAGAGATAAGAATATATCTTGTGTTTTCTCTGATTTCATCACCGGTTGCCTTTTAACATGCTACATAAACACTATTGCATAGCTAATGATGTTTTTAATTGATCGCCTATTGTAAAAGTTTGGCGAAAAATATTTTTTGAAGATTTCGTTAAAGGAAGAAACTTTGACAAATTTTTAAACCAAATGTTTCTCATAAAAAAAACAATGAAAAATGAATCATCGATTTGATCGGAGTGATTCGAACGCAGATCGATGGAGTAACACCTAGTCTATCCAAAAAACATAAAAACGAAAAATCTAATTTTTGAAAACTTTTTTCCTAAAAAGAGGGGAGGATAGGATAAGACATAAGTAAAATTTTAATTCTAATTATTTTTTAAATTTTTTTCAGGTAAACCCTTAGTTAAACCTGGCATTGAACATGGTAGCGCCCGTGGAACTTATTTTGATCATTCTTCAAATACGGATTTTACAAGTTCACATTATCTAAATGGAATAAATGCTTATAATGATGATGATGAATCCTATGAATTCCTATATTCATCTTTTGATAAAACAGATCTGATCATGTTATCTAATAATGAAAGTCAATCTTTAGATCACAGAGGACATTTTTCCGTTGAAAAAAACTACAAAATACAAAGAGTTGAAGGATATTATTTGAACAAAACCGTTGTTTTTCCAAATGGTACAATTTTAACAATACCAATAATAACAGGAATTCAGTTTTTCACAACAAATGGTCATGCTAGTCCATTATATACTGGTGAAGAAGGAAAGAGGTTTAGTGAAGAATATGAGGGATATACATTATGGTATGTTACTGGAAGATCGGATCTATATATTCATCAATTACAATTCTTTTGGCGTCGAACTCCTGTTACTCACTAAAGCAAATAACTATTTCTATCATCTGAATGCGATGCTTAATATAAGATCTGATAAATGGGTTTTCATTATTAAATAAAAGAAATCAAATTTTAAACTATATGTATAATATATTTGAAAAAGTAAGATATTATAATAATAGTTTAATAACTAAAATGTATAAAACATAAGAATAAGTCTGAAGAATAAAGATTCAAGAGATTGAATCATGCGATTTGTATTGTATTCAAATGTTGTTTTGAAGACATTTTGAAAGTGTTTTATTTGGTTTATTTAGTACATCTTGTATCTTATATGCTATATATTATATGAATATATTTATTTATTCAAAAATGTATGAGAATAAAGTTTCGTTAGATATAAAAGATATCTAAATGATCTTCAATCGATATTTAATTAAATATCTATACATGTTTTGTATAGTTTTTATTAAAGATTAGTCTCTTATTCTTGTATAATAAGTCATTGTTATTTATTCGAATGGGATATTTCCCATTCTCTTATCTTTGAGTGTAATATTTACCACATATACTGCTCTTTAATTCTTGTATAGCATTTTTTTTCTTTCTTTTACATTTTATTTATTGTAAATGCACCATTAGCATAACTATTCTTTTCATTATTCTACTCTTTAACGTTAGATTCATGACTGAATCTATTAGTCATTTCGCATGTATTGACTGTAAAACGAGATTGAATGTATGAAAAAACTACATGTAACTATGCAGGAACGTCAAAGTGAAATGAATCTCAGTTATTTTTTGAGTATCATGTCAATGAAAATCATCAGCTTATTTCATTTTTGAGTAACATAATATTTGCTCTTATTTATCGATTTTTTTCTTCACAAATGGATTTATTCATACTAGCCACGAAAATAACACATCAATAATACGTCAATATTCTTCAAAGAATATCCTCTGATACTAAATCTTCAGTAGTATTGTTTATTATGATACTTAAAAATAATATTAAATCATACTTACCATCTTCTTACTATTCCTTTGTTGATATAAAATTAGACGTTTGACACTTATTTTCTAACACTCTGTCAAGACACAAAAGATTACACTCGTCATAAAAATATATTAACTATTTTGAACTGTAAAATATCACAATAATTACACATTTATCCTTCACCTCATCTAACACCATATAATAATCAAATATTTCAATTCTTTTCGAATATATAATGACCTATGTCTGGATTCTCTTTTGTACTTTATCTTCCCTTGTTTCTGTTGATTCTAACATGTATAAGCGTCTATATAATAGAAGAACAGAAATAAAAAGAAAAATGAAAAAGTTAAATATCAAAGATAATCAAGGCAATATGACGTCATCTTATTATCGTATGTCACATGTCATAATGAACAACTATATACATACACCTTCAAAACCTTCTTACTATAATACTTATTAATTCTTATACATTCATCTTTTAATCATTATCTATAACACACACAGCTTTTCTTCAACAGTAAATCGTCTCTAACTCTATCTACACATTTTTCAAAGTACTTTATTTTCCGCATTCATTTTATAAAGAATAAAAATATTTTTTTACTCAATTTTTCATTCGATAATGCACTTTTTCATTTACTATCTATTTCTTCGATTTGTTGCAATTCATTTTTCGATATGTTTGTTTGTTTGTTTTTTTTTTGTAT